CTTTTTTTCTTATGACCAGTAGGAGGGGCAATTTCGACGCTCGAAGCGGCGGCCGAAAGAGGTATCGCAAATATCGTCGAGTCAAGAAGAATTGTTCCTCGTTGGACTTCTCGTTGGCTGAGGGAGCAATGGTGGGTTGTACCCGGCCATGCTCCCCAGCAGAGATTTAGAGCCCAGCGACAGCCATTTGGCAGGTGTACTCGGCAATATTTGGGGTAGTACTGACGTTCAACTTCTGGAATAACGAGACAAAAGGGGTTCAAGACGAACAGAGAGGTGGGCTGGTGAGCATGAGGAGGAGAAGAAGAGAAGAGAGAGGAAGAGAGAGAAAAGAGGGAAAAGCGACGAAGAGCCAGCACCGACCAGCACGATTGGCCCGATTGGGCTTGGCGGCACCGGGATTTGCGGCGGGCCGGATTAATAAACGTCCGGCACTGCCTGATTGGCCGGAGAGGGGAGGAGTGGGGCGGGTGAGTTACAGCGTGACGGTATTGAGGCCGTATTGCAGCAGTACCGCCCACAGTCTTAATCCGAACTTACCGTACAGTACACCCAGCTGCCGGCCTCTGATTGGCTGTACAACTCACCGTCTTTTGGTCCCAACCGCCCAGCTGGTTACTCTCCCGCAAACCGACTATGGCACGGTACTTCTTGCAGGGCCTGGACAAGAGCTCCTGTGGGGTATAAATTACACAGTCATTCCCAGTCACTCAAGAGTCATCCAGAGGTGATCATGACTGAATCCTGCTCCCAGACCCTGCGATGAACCGGGAACATGAGAGCGCTTGTTCCCGTCTGTGTGCCTCACCGGAAATTTACTGGAGTTTCAAGGCTTCTGGTTAACTCAAAATCTTGACTGTGGAGCGGAAGGATGAAAGAATCATCTTCCCCCCTCTCTGTGCTGTGACGGACATGCGACACCGGGTAAAGATCGTATTTATTCTCCTGGTCCCTTCTTAGCCCAGCACAGACACGCTGCAGTGCAAGGATCAGACAAGAAGACCAGATCTGGAGAAAACACCACTAGCGACAACGACTGCAGATGACATGCAGTCCCTGGCGGCCAGGTGTTGACATCCCATTCCTCACCAGAGCAGAGACCCGCGCTAGAATCTTGCAGTGGTACGATCGTCGGTTCACTTCCAATTTTTTCCATCCTTTTTGATCGTTTCTGGGTGGCATGATGGTTGGTCCTCTTTTTCCTGCATTTGCCGGGTCCACCAGCTTCGAGTTTTGACCAAAGTTAGCGCCACCGCAGGGATTGCCGATGGACTCGTGAGGGATGTCGATCAAACATATGAATTCCAACTCCTTGTATCAACAACAGCAAGTGCCCGTCCAGAATAGAGATCATTGCTAACACATTCAATGGTATCATAAGAAACATCAAAGGAGATCCAACATCCATGATATATAAACCACGCCATTTCTCCCAAGCTGACAGTAAAATGTTTCCAAAATTGACTTCGCCTGACCGCCCTTATGCCCCAGCGGGTCCGCCCCTGTTGTCGCCCATGGATCCCCATCCTCCCAACTAGCATTGTCTTCCCAACGGGGGAGGGTCCGTTTGACGTGTCTTTATGCCAGAAATGCCTCGCAAGTATTGCTTAGGTTCCCTCATAACTTATAAGGCTCGACCGTCTTACGACGTGTTTCCATGTTGGATGCAGCCCGAACCGAACTATTCATGCCTGCACCCTCTGACGATACCGGGGCGTACTGCGCTGGATGTTGTTGGGCGCCGTTTCCTGCCGTTTGAGCGGTCCCAATTGGTGCGTTGTCTGCAGACGTTGTATGAATGGGGGAGGCCTGCGTGGACTCGGCCATGTCGTCGAGGTTGGAGGCCGATGCCTCTCTGGAAATCCGCTCCTTTTCGAGACGCTCTTCGCGTCCTCGTTTGTGGCAGTACCATAGGACGATAAGGAGAACTGATTTTCCCAGTCGTCAGTAACTGAACGAGTCGTAGCTTCATTTTGTCAAGACACTTACCGGTCAACGCCAAGGACCAAAACACATTCATCCCCATAAGCGCTGGAAACCGCGCCCGCAAAAAGGTCATGATCGATCGCAACATCCCCGCAATCGCCGCTGGTTTTCCCACCACTTCCTTCAGACTCGGCACCTTGAACCCCATCTTCTTCGCAGCCCCCGCTGCCTTGCCCGCATTTTCCGCGTTCAGCCCATGTCGTCCAGCTCGCTCCGCAGCGACCGCAAGCATCTCCGGTGCAAATCTCTCCGTTACTTTCGTAGGTAGCTGTTCGATCAATTTTCGTAGGAATTCAGGGAGCCTATCAAATGTACTCTGCAGCTGCTTATCCCCACTTGTAAGGAGAGTTTCCAGGTCGTTATATGCCGTCGGGACGCCATTGACGAGGTCTTTGAAGACAAACTTGAATTTTTCCAACAGCTCTTGAGTCTCGTCCCCAATCGAGAAGACTCGATTGTTGATCGCCGCCAGGTTCAATTTCTCCAACACCTCCGAGATATCTTCCTCTTCTTTCTGCACCTCCTGATCAATCATCGGTGGGGGCTCCTATAAGCAATCAAAAACACATTAACTACCCTGTGCCAACCCGTCTCTCCAAATCAACCTCTAGCTCAACTGACCTTCTTAGCCTTATCCTTCTCCCCCTTCCCATTCCCTAGGATCCAACTCCAGCGCTCCCCCTTCCTCGGCTCCTCCACCACCTTTCCCTCCCCGTCCTCCTCCCTCTCCTCCTCCACCGTCCTCGACTTCCGCCCCTCCACCGCAAACATCTGATCCAAATCCTGTTCTTCTTCCCGCGGCGACATCGGCAGCGGTATATTCTGCGCTCCGTCCATCAGCGCGATCTGCGCATCGCCCCCCGGATCCACCCGCGTCTTCTCCGGCGAGTTTGCGACGCAGCTGAGAAACGCCTCGTCTTCCTCGGTGAGGATGGGATCGTGGGCTTTTGCGGGAGATTTGCCGAAGGGGGCTTTGTCCCTGATGGTTTTGAAATATTTCATCGCCATGATAAATTCTAGTAAATGTATGGTTTTATGCCGCGAGAATTCGTGGTTGCGAAATAGGATATTCCCAAAAACGCAGAATAGCGAGATATTTTCAATAATATGTAGTCAGCCAGTCGCGTATTTGGGCCCAAGGAAATACTGCCATTGAAGGTCGTGACGTCAGCGCGGGATTCCAACTTTCACATTCGCACATTGTGGCCCGTGCAGCACTGGCTTCTTGCACCGCCACATTAACTCGTTACCCCGCAAAGCTTAACTTTCTTAGATTACATAATCCTTGTATCGCCGATTTGCAGAACCGACGGAAGTGAACATCTGTATAGATTCAAGCTCGCACCCATTATTGATTGATACATTTACCAATTTAATTATTACCTGGGTTAACATTATCCCAACCTGAATTAAGGCTCTCTTACATCCTGCGATTGCAAAGGTCCTATCTCCCAGGAATGAGCGGTAATACTGGCGAAAACTTTTGGTGAGAATCGATCAACATCTCGCAGGCAGCACACTATTAGTCAGCATTGCATTTCCGTCCTCTGCGAGGCTGAGTTTGACGACGCGCATTGGTGCAGATTAGTGATACATGCGTTTAAAAAAGTATCGGCACGGAATGCGAAATACATCAAGAGGCCACAATATCATCAGTTGCGTAGTCGCTAAGGAGCTGTTGAGTGGAGATTCGCCCTTAAACCGCTGACTGAAATCGCCTGTTTCCAAGCCTGAGCATCGAAATGGGGGCCCCAAATGGCCATCATGCAGGGATGCTTGGGAAGTTCCTCGGGATTGACGGCAGATAGCTCACAAAAATCGATGGAGCATCGGAATTTTGAATGCAATCAACAGAGTCACACGCGTCAGGTGTTCCTGAGTCTGGAGCTGGAAGGGATCTGTCATGATAAGGTTGTGTGGATAATGGCGGCAAGTCAACCAGGCTTCGGGGTCTCGATGACTTCCATAGTTTCATGCTGTCAACAATACCCCTTTCGTGTAGCCCTACCTTGCTCTCTCTTTGCTTTCGCGCGTAATCGATCTCCTGGGAATGAAGGAGGTGTGGCATCCATCATGGAAAGGAACAGGGATTGCAAAGCTAGGGGTGACGAGCAAATTCGCCACAGCCCTCAGGGGTCATCGAATAAGCTATGGATTCAACGGCTCTGCAACCACTCCAGCAGCCCAGACAGTCGGGAAGACAACCTCAAGCCTTGGACTGACTCATCCGCAAGCTTGATGGCGGGGATCGTGCCGGCTGGCCAATTGCCTTTGTTCCAAGACACCACGACGTCGATGCGGGAGAATCAGGCGATGGCTGCCTTCAGCCTTCAGGCCACAAGAGTCCGCCTCCCATTCCCTTCTTAGCGGCTTTCTTGTCTAGGAAATCACATGATCGAGCCCGTATCTATCACTTTCCCGCTTCCTCCCACTTCTCTCCTCTTCTTCTCTTCTTCACGCTTCGCTGAGCTGACCAGTCAACCCCCGTACGAGGTTCATTCCTGGATGATATCTCGTGCGCAAAGCCTCCTTCAAAGGTACACGTCTCTCCTATCCTCATTTTCTCTGTATTGAGAAACCGGAGATAGATACGGGGAACGTAATTCTTGGAAGAAGGCTTTCCAAGGCTCCCATGCTACGTGCGTGATCGACCAGCGTCAAACCAATTCGGCAACAAAAGCCCGTCCACTCTTTTGATATATATGCCGGGGATTCGTCTGCCGCTCGTTCTGGCTTTTGGCCTTTGCTCGTCGACTTTCGCCCTGATCAGCTCTCCCCTCCCGTGGTTTTGAACGCAATGTTCAAACGCTCCTTTTCCTCAAAGGACCGAGTGGGCAAGTCGGTCAAGCCCGTCAAGAAGACCTATCGCGACCAAACAAAAGTCAAACTTCAGGAGAAACTAGGCAGTCCGCCAATTGAAGGGTATTTTTCGTTCATTTATACTGTGCCACGTGAGTTTGAAGGCTGATCATGATCCAGTAACCTTGCCGGTCCTATCGTGACCTTGGTTGTAGGTCGAGACCAGCGGCTTTTTGCTGCACATGAGGACGTCCTGTCTCTTTCGCCTTTCTTTTCCGCTGCTCTGAAACATCAAATTCTGGATGGCAGTTCGAAACAGATTAGCCTGCAAGACGAGTGTGTGACTCTATTGTTTCGTTTTCGTCTAATGTTGCCTAACATACCTGCCAGAGAACCCGAAATATTTTCCTGTGTCCTCGAATACCTTTACAAAGGTGACTATTACCCACGCTTGCTGCACAGCAAACGCCGGAACTCCTGGTATCTCGAGGATGCCAAAGACCCCCATAAAACAGGAGGCCGAGGATCAAGCGAATCGGTCGTTTTTCACCCTGGCGTGGGCAACTTTATCCTTCGCGACACCGCCATATACTGTGCCGCTGAGAAGTTCGGCTTGGATGATTTGAAAGGCCTTGCTCTCAAGAAGCAGGGCCTTCAAATTGGAATCCCGGTTGATGTGATCCTTCGCTCGGCGCGGTATACCTACAACAACACGCCAGACTCCGAATCGCGACTCCGCGCTCATTTTTTAGCCCTGATTATTCGAAGTCGTAAGACTTTCAAGAGAAGTGGAACAATGCAGATGGAGATGGAGTCAGGTGGCAAATTGTTCTTCGATTTGTTCGTAGCGATGTGCAATCACATCGATGATCTTGTTGAGATTAGGTACGAGGCTTCCCTTTTTCATTGTTTGACAGGCCGGTTTGCATCTTGCACTTCCCCGTATTTAGAGACTTATTTCTAACAGCAACAGCCGGTCTCCCAAGGTCATCTAAATATGCACGGTCAGCTATGGTCACAAATCGGATTTCACTCGATCGCTGTCGAATCAAATTGTCTAAATGAATAACTGTATCTTGCCTAAACTACAAGCAACATGGGAGGGAAAGAGTGTGGAAGGAAAAGGCAGGTCTGAGCGATTGTTACTTTCAATAGTGAGAAACAGCTCAACCTCTTTGGAGTTCTGCCTCCCCCCGTTCCAGGTTGGCCTGTGGATTTGTTTTGGTTTCGACGACTTCACCATGGCACCAGATTGGACCTTGAAAGCCCATGGCACTTTTGATCAAGAATGGCAATTTTGCTTCCTGTTTATCGTGCTACGCCCTTGTTTACGCGGCTAATTGTCACACCTCTCCGTTCTGCTTCCAATAATGAAGCCAAGCCAGTCTGCGACTATCCTTCGCAAAACAGTTTCCTTTGTTACATATTTGGATAACTCCACTTCTGCCCTGTGTACTATTGGGTTTATAATCAGGTATATAGTATTGAAATGAGAGGATTAGGCCACCTCGAATGATCCCCATTTTGCCGTATTTGATTCCATTTGAGTGGTATAAGTTTCGGCCTGGGAGTCTCTTTGGCGCAAAAGTCATAGATCAGTATCCTCCTTTCTACTGAGCGTCTCCCATATAACGGTGATCCACCGTACCCATAACGTGTTTGAATGGAAAGCACTCTGAACAACCGGAAGGCTCAACTAGCAACTTCCCGGCTAGATTCAAAGCTGCCGCATTGGAAAGGTTACAGAGAGTGCCTTTTAAACACATTCAACATTCTATATTGATCACATATTAGAAACAGCCTATCTACCTAGTCTACTTAAAAACCGTCAATGAAGCCGCCGATGATATATTTTAATTCTCGAAGATATAGGCGCTAACGTCAATACAAGCATCCGAGCGGTACCGCTACCATGATTTCGGAAGTAGGTTTCTTTAGGCATTCCCCAACGGGTGGGAAAGGCAGAATCGAAAAGAAGTTCGAGGCCAAAGGAGCGGAACGCTCGGTTAGTAGATGGAACCCTAAAGAGAAAAAGCTTTGGCTGGAGGGCGTATCGGACGACGAGCTGGAGGCAACCAACAGGGCTATATGCGACGCTGAAGCCGCAGGAGATGAGATTTGGGTTCCTCCTCCAGTTTGCGACAAGCTCGATAGACACCCTTACATTCTAGTTCCCGTGTTCAATCGACATACCGAGGGTTTGGATGTGAAGAAGCCAGTGCCTAAAGACGAGCCTCGGAGACGCATAGCTCGCCGTGCCGGAATCGAAGATAAGAGTTATCATATTGACAAGATAAGGAACGAGAGGAGTATCATGAAGGTGACGATCGAGAAGCTGAAGAAGTTGATGGACAGTTCGAAAGCGCCGTATCTCCAAATGCTTGACAAACAGGAATTTGGGATCGTCGGCAGCTTTCTTTTAACGGGCGACTATGCTCCGATGCTCATCGAAGCTCGGGGTATACGGCATCCCTTGGACCCCTATGAGCCGCAGCCGGGGAGCATTACACACTTTTTAGAAGGACTGATAACTAAAAAGGAGTACGACTCGGAGCTCATAAGAAGTGGGAAAATATACCTCCGAGCCCACGAGCTCAACTTGCCAAAGCTCAAAGTGCTCGTTGTACGGAAGCTTGCATTGGGGTTTCAGTACCTGGACGAAAAGTTGGCTATACAGCTTGCTGATTCCATATTTTCAGTTGTTGGAAAGGAATGGGACGACAAGTACGGCGCAAGGTATATGGTCAATGAGCCTTTAAACGGACGATATATGCGTGAAAAAGAACCAATGCGGGCCTTCCTCGTTGATTATTTCGCACACAAGCTCGCTGTGGTCTCAGATATCACAGTTGACCGGCGATTCCGAATCTTGTTGATGAAGTATCCTGCCCTGAGGATCGGAGTATACGCGAGAGCGGCAGAATTGGGGTTGGATCGATGGTCAGACCCGTCAGCAGAGGCAGCTGAAATGAGAAGAATAGCAGAGAGAAACAAACGCGCAGAGGCTCGCCGCAATTCGAAAGCGCCTGAAAAGAAGTCAGCACCGATCCCTGCCCGCCGAGGATAATAACAAGTTTTGGAGGCCACAAGCTGGACCTCGATCAATGAATCATATGAGCGACCTGTCTGCACGCAGTTGGATGAGTTTTAGGCGTTTTCTGACTTGGACTTGGAGTATTAATATTGAACCGTCAGCTTGGGTGAGGTTTCATGACGGGATATTTAAGCAGCGTTGGTGTTGGTTGCTTGAGTCGAAAGTTCTGCCCAAACCGCGAAAGATGTAACTAGATGATGGTAGTTAGTTACTTGATAGGCAAATTGTCGCAATGTAGTAATATTCTTAGGCAAGACACCTAGACACTAATGTACAAGTCATGGGAGAAGCCGTTGCCGTTATCTGGTCCAATTGATAGAGCTGAAAGAAGTTGAAGCTCCTCTGGTCAGTAAAAAAAAGTGGACAGCTTGCTTTTAGCTCCTGCTTCTATGTGACCAGTCTTCAACCAGGACAGACAAGATCCAAACTCCATCACAGACTGCGCCCAGCTACAGATGAGGCCCTCGAGGACTTGAGACGGAATAGATTTAAAATCAAGCGCTCATCTAGTTACACCCGCGCAGCTCCCGCCCTCACATCTTACCCCGTTCCCGAAAACCTGCGCCAAACCGACCAATTCTCTCGCCATGCTCTCCAGTCTATCCCCCCACCTCTCCAATGTCCGGCAGACGCTCACGCAAGTCCTCAATTTCGCGCTCGTCCTCTCCACGGCCTTTATGATGTGGAAAGCCCTCTCGATCTACACCAATTCGTCGTCGCCGATCGTGGTGGTGCTCTCGGGCAGCATGGAGCCCGCGTTCCAGCGGGGTGATTTATTGTTTTTGTGGAATCGGAGCCCGCGGGCGGAGGTTGGGGAGATTGTGGTGTATAATGTGCGAGGAAAGGATATTCCGATTGTGCATCGGGTGGTGAGGGCGTTTGGGGATGATGCGAGGGATCCGAAGGAAGGGGGAGGGAAGAAGGGGAAGAGTGCGAGTGGGACGGGGAAGAAGGAGAGTGTTGCGGCTGGGTGAGTGGAACTGTTTTCGTTTCTGGCTCTTTTTTTCTATTTTCCCTTTTTCTTTGCGGGTTTGGATTTGGTGGTTTGGATGCTGATATGTTGACTGTAGGGCCGTTCACTCGGATTCCTCCTTCGTCTCTCATAAACTCCTCACCAAGGGCGACAATAATATCGCAGATGACACTGAACTGTACGCTCGAGGGCAGGACTATCTCGACCGCAAGGTGGACTTGGTGGGCAGTGTGCGCGGGTATATTCCTGCGGTGGGATACGTGACGATTATGCTGAGCGAGCATCCATGGTTGAAGTCTGTGCTATTGGGGCTTATGGGAGTTATGGTCATTTTACAGCGAGAATAGTTTTTTTGAAGATATTGAGATACCTTTTTGCGTTATGGCTTCGATCGGGGATTCAGTTCGCGAAGAAGCGCGATGCTGCCTCACATCTAAACAGATCTTTTTTCACATCTTTTGGCAAATCAACTGAATCGAACGTCTTCCCCTGAAACCGTGACGGGTATCCTTGATTGTTGTGGTGCTACTATCTAGATTTATGTGAATCATTCCTGCATCCTGGGCCGATTCAGATAACTTCCAGCTGATCCCGAGATACGAACTTCCAGGCCGCAACAAAAGTGAATGACCTACCGTTCACCACTTCAGCAAGCGTCTTTCTTCTCCAAAGACAAATATCTGCTAATCCTTAGCATTCGCCTCCCAAGTCCACGCTTTCACATTAAGGCTTTGCTGCTCTGATCACGGCCAAACCCCTCCAGCCCCTCATCCCCGACCTGTTGACATCATGGGCAGCCAGAAGCGCATATCAAAGGTAACACTACCAGCCGCCTTTTCCAGATCATTTCAAAAGCAAACTGCTCGTTGCTTACACACTACTCACCCTCCCTGTAGGAACTCAGCGAACTCACAAAATCCCCTCCGCCAGGCATAGGAGTATCCCTCGCCGACGAAGCCGATCTATACAAATGGCAAGTCCACATGCAAGGACCCGACGAATCGCCGTACAAAGTACGCAAAAAAACCCCCGCAGCCCATTTTAAACATGTCTCCCCCTTCGTTTTCCCCTACCACTAACCCATCGCTTCACTCGCGTCCAGGGCGGCACGTTCGTGCTGTGCCTTGACCTCCCGCCCGAATACCCCTTCAAACCGCCCACGGTCTCGTTCTCGACGAAAATCTACCATCCCAACGTCACCAACGATGATAAAGGGACCATGTGCCTGGGGATGTTGCGCGCGGACGAGTGGAAGCCTTCGACGAAGATACAGTCGGTACTAGAGTTTGCGAGACAGCTGCTTTCTGAGCCCATGCCGGATGATGCGGTGGAGGGGCGGATTGCGGAACAGTTCAATAATGATCGGAAGGCGTATGAGCAGACGGCCAAGGAGTGGACGAAGAAGTATGCAAAGGAGAGTAAGAAGTTGTTTTGGTGAGAGAGGTGTAAATGCATCCGGGGGGATATGGCAAGATGTGGGAATTGTGCAGTCCTGACAGGCTGGGGTACGATGTGAACATAAATGTAAGGGTTCCAATCGGAGGTATGCGGTTCTGGTTATCTTTGTTACTCTCGTGATGGGCTTTGACTACGGGTTTGGAATTAGGGAATGGCGTTCGCTGCGTCGATCAGACATAGACAACAATACATTGCTTTTAAGATTACACACTACAAGGGGATTTCGCAACAGTTGGGAAAAGAGCTGGTGTATGTGGCTCTGATATTCAATATGCATGTTGGTTATTGATGGCAATTCAATATCAAACTCTCATGGGGGACTCTCTCGGGGCCAAGGTGAATGCATCGTACAGCAAGCGAAACCAGTGCTGCTTTAATTTATTGGCGCCTTGATCCCGACTGTTAGAGTAGTTCATGCAACCCGGTCCCAAGCGAATGTTAGTCCTAGAATAGAGCGTGGGTTAACCGAGGAAGACATGGAGAAGGGAAGCAGATGAAGTGCGTCAAGCTTTATATTGCGGCGGCTAAGCAAAGAAAGTAACAATAGCTATCCGATAGCGCCACTATGGATGGAAGCTGCAGGTCAAAGGAATTTCGAAAGGGCAGAGTCGGCTTGTATAGTTGATATTAAGATTCATCCCCTTGACTGTGTTCAACCAAGCTCTGGCACTGCTCATGTAATCGGGCGGTTCGCCACTCTGAAAAAGGCACACCGGAGCGGAGAGAAGAAGATAGTACATAGAGTCCCGGGGCCTTGGGAGCCAACAGCCATGGCTGGGCGCAATAATGGGGATTGCAGGGAATGCAGCCCCTGTTTGAGACATACAGAGCAAGTTCCTGGACAATGACCAGGTGCTGCAGCCCGGCAACAGAAGCCGAAGCAAGATTGTCTGGAGCTGGGCTTAGGAGGAGGCACAGCACCGGGTTTGGATCCTTTATCTCGGCGTGCTGCAGGAGGGCAACATGACCGCCTGCCACAGAGTGTGTTGCATCTGCAGCAGCTCGAGTCTCGTGCATCAAGGCAAGGGTGCTCGCTGAACAATGGGAGAGCTGAGGCTTGAGAGCATTCAGCTCCCGGGCAATGATCTGAGCTCTGCTGTTTCAATCGATCCAGCCTGCAGCGGCGTATAAATAAGACCAAGCTGCCGCGCTGTAAAAAAAAAAAAAGTCATCCCTGTGCTGGAGGTCCAAAACATGCAGCGTGAAAGAGAATCTCACACTCTGGCTGCGGCAGCTGGAAACAGAGCCTGGCTGAGCCCCCGTCCGGCTTTCATCCGCGCTGCTTCTGCGGACGGCATGTTTGGGATTCTGTGTATCTGGAACAGCGCTCTGCTGGCATTCTCCTGGAAGGATGCTTGGTGGTGACGATATTATTCACTAACTCGTTGGTTGGCCTGCTAGGCTGACCTGGGCTTGGCTGGCAGCAGAGCCGGTTGGACTGCCTGTTGATGTTAACTATCGCGAGAAAATACGACGTCCAGCGTCCTCACCACCGCCGCTCTCTGTTCTCTCTGCTGGGCTGGACGATAGACTCTCCAGCGCATTCTTTTGTGCTTTTGTTTGCTTCCGCGAAGCCCCGTTGCCTGCTGGAACCCTCCCGCAATGCTGCCACTCCTTTTAGCTGACCGTCCGCCTGCTTAACCGCCCAAGTCGCGCCCACGCTCGTTCCCACCAACCGACGCCATCGCCCTTCGTTCCGGCGCTTGAGCCAGTTTCTTTCGTTTCCAGTCCGTCCTTTGCCTCCTCAATCCCATCGCCAGCGGGCTTTTGCTCTCCCAGCGTTCCAACCGGCCACACAATCAAATGTCCCGGCAGACTACCTTCGCCGACTCCAGTGGCCATGGTCACAAAGCACCCTGCAACCGACGCTCCCTTTAATCCTCACGGCACCGCCCGCCGCTTCAATGACTTTGGTGCTGTCAAGCGTCCAGCCCTCAATGCCATAGACACCTCTCCCCCGCCTCGCGGCTCGTCACTCGCCCGCCCTCTCGTTCCTGCCAACTCCGCTCCTCCGCCCCAGGGCCCTCGATCTAAAAAGCCCGAACCGTTGCGCCCTACCTACCTCAAGATAACACATATCGCACCGCCCCTTCGGTCAGCGGCTTCGTTTGACGACGGCCGGCATGGTCCTGTACAATCGCCCCCAAGCAGCGAGGCAGCACGGTTCAGCCCAGCCACGAGCCCGCTCTCCACGCACTCAACGGGGCTGAAGCCGGCATGGTCAATGACCAGTGCGCAATCTAACCAATTTGTTCCGTTTCGCCATGACAAGTCGCCGCTGCATACCCCCCTAAGTGCTCGCTTCCCTCACCATTACCAGCCCCCCGAGCTACACTTTGATACGCCAACTCGATCGAGTCTACAGTCTGCCACAACTGGCACTTCAAGCGTGGAGCCGGCAAGCGGAACGGAAAGGAGCAGCATTCTCACTAATTCCAGTTCTTTGACTGATATTTCGCCTGCCACCCCTGACGTCGACCAAGATATGAGTGTGGATGACGCTATCGATATGTACCTTGATGGCTTCTCAGATGACTCGTCGCCGACGCAAGACTCCTCAGATTCGCCAGAACCAGAGGATTTTCCACTGCCGCCGTCGCTAAGGAAAACTCCGGACCCCCAAAAGGTCGTCGATGACTCGCCAGAGCCTACGCCTCCCTCAACACCTAAACGATGCGCACAGCTAGATGGGCCAGCCCATAGCAGTATGGAAGATCAAGAGATGAAAGACCTTTCTCCTGGTGTCAAACCAGTATCGCCACCAATAGTGAAAACAAAGATCACCGTGCCGGATGTCCTTTCAGTTGGCGTGCCGCCTCCTTTGTCCACATCGACCAGGTTAAGAGATCAATATGGCTTCAAAAAGGAGACCACCTATATTACTGTGTCACAATACAACAAGTGGAGTGAACCATATTCAAGATACGTGGATTATCGAAGACAAAAATGGATTGAAATGCTTCATGACAGCGGCACCGCGGATAAAGGCACACTTGAATTCCCGTCCAAGTCTAGTAAGATGAAGCGGTACATTAGAAAAGGAATACCTCCGGAATACCGTGGTGCTGCGTGGTTCTGGTACACCGGGGGTCATGAGCATCTCCGTCAGAATCCGGGCCTTTATCGGAAACTCGTCGAGAAGGCTGTCGAGGCCCCGATGAATGATGACAAGGAGCACATTGAGCGTGACCTCCATAGGACATTTCCTGATAATATCCATTACAAGCCGGACCTATCCTCGGAGACCCAATCGCCTTCTGGAGCCGGTAGTAGTAACCTGAAGTATACATTAGATGCCCAGGAGACGCCAATCATCCAGTCTCTGCGTCGTGTTTTGTATGCGTTTTCGTTACACAACTCGAAGATTGGTTATACCCAATCCCTCAACTTCATTACAGGTCTCCTACTTCTTTTCCTGTCGGAAGAAAAAACCTTTTGGATGCTCCACACAATCACCTCTGCTTATCTACCAGGAACGCATGAAGTTAGCCTAGAAGGAGCCAACGCTGACCTTTGGATCCTCATGGTTGCCCTAAAGGAATCTCTCCCTGCCGTATACACCAAAGTTGCTAGTCCAAATGCAACGACTCCTAGATCAAAGCCTCCAAACATCACAACAACAACTCGCTTACCTGATATTACCCTTGGCCTTACGAATTGGCTGATGTCCATGTTCATTGGTAGCCTTCCTTTAGAAACCACGCTGCGCGTGTGGGATATTCTGTTCTACGAAGGTTCCAGAACGTTTTTCCGTGTTGCATTGGCAATTTTTAGACTCAGCCAGAGAGATATCCTCGCCGTCAGCGACCCCATGGAAATCTTCCAGATTGTGCAAACTGCTCCAAAGAAGATGCTTGATGCGAGTGCTCTCGCGGATGAATGCTTTGCGCGACGTTTCCGGTTCTCTCAAGAACGAGTCGAGTCGTTGAGAGTTGCGCGAAGGCAAGCTATTCGGGAAGATAAGGAGCGAGCGTCGTTTTTGGCACGTCCTGGAAATTTTGGTGCAAATGCAGACGGCCGTCCGGGTACGGGATCTACTCAACCTGGCGCGTGGAAGACATGGAAGAATCACACTTTCAGATGAGCTTGTGATGACCTTTGCGGATTCAATTCCTTGTTATTATTACTACTTCTATTTTTTTTAGGCTGTTTCAACTGTCGAGCTGGCTGTTGCCTTAGCGGATTAACCTACTTTCTGGCACATACATAAACCTCTATTCCTTCTCTTTATTTCCCCGACCCTGTTGTGGTCCTTCCATTTTCATTTTCTTTTATTTCCCGGTAATGCCATGATATACGTCTACAATTCTGGTGTCCTGCGGTGTTGTGGATAGAGGTTAGCGCCATGTTGTCTCGTCATGATTTTTATTTTTGTATCTTGTGTTGGATCAGCTCAAAGGAGATAGAACGCTATTTTTTTTCCATTTTGAAATATCGCTTTTGCATATGATACTTTTCCGTTTCTAATTCGGCCTTCTATTCGATTGAGTTTTCAGACCAATTTTTTTTCCTTTCCACCCCGATCTCAAAGCTAAGTTATTTTACTTCGCTTTCACTGTGCCTTGGGGGAAAAAAAAAAAGAAAACCAGAAGTTGGCTGGATTGGTAACTTTGGTTGTCTCTCTGCGTGTCTATCTTCCTTCCCCGGACCCGGCTCTATCAAAGTCACCTTCAGGGCTTTGTTGCAACAGAGATAAGTAAATGACTTTGATGCATTCACAACATCCCTGTTAGAGCCATGTTATGCGTCAGGGTGGGATCAGAGAGCATCTTGTACTGTAGGGAATAGGCCAGTTCAAGGTTATCATATTACTGTTGATTAAGGTCATATCATTGAGCAGCCTTGAGATTAGCAGGTTAAAATCTAACAGTATCTTCCCCCATTGGCAAGTGTGCATGATATCCGCTGGAATGAAATGGAAATTTTGAATCATTCCCCCTTTATTTACCATCATGGCATATAATGGATATACTTATGTATTGCAATATAAACGTGTAAAAATTATTATATACAAGAAATAAAAGAAAAATTGGATTCCTTGAAAATTTGTCGTCATCATGTCTCATCAAAAGGTGGTACGCCGATGGGGGGTATCATTAGGCAAGCCGTCGAAAAGGAAGACGTTATAAGACATGCTCTTCACATATACTCCATAGACAACACCACTCAAACCTTCTCACGTGCCAGACATTTTGTCATAGTAATCACCATGTATGTCACAAACTTCACTATTATTGTTAATGCCCAGACAATGGCTGAAAAGCCCCAAGATATACTCTTCAGCAGTACCCTTGTTGGCCTAGGGAGCTTCTGCTTATCGTGGGTATGTTGTTTATATTCACCATATTGCTCGAGATCAATATCTTCGACTGCAACTGGTTTCGATTTCTTTTTATTCTTTTTCTTGCTCTTTGCGCCCGCGGGCTCGTCCTTTCTCCCGGGAAGGATACTCATCAGAGAAAATCTAGTTTTGGCTTGGATTCTAGGTTGAGAGCGGATTTGTTCCATTAATGCAGCTTCTTCAATCTCCTCGCGCTCGGCCTGGGTGGCAATGAACACCTTGCCTGCTTTGCCGATAGGAACTTCCAATGTTAGAGAATCTGTCCGATGGGAATCTGGCCGTGCAGATAGCTTCGGTGACTGCATGCTCATACCCGCTAAGATGGGTCTTGAAACTTCGTTCGAAACCACAATAATGAGAATCGCAGCAACCATGGCGTCGACAGCGTAAAAAGATGGAATGGCTGAGAGTATTTGTTTAGTATCTATGGATAATGCCATAGTCTCCAAGTCTAAAGCAATTAAAAATTTGTTGTTTGTGTCGGGGCTAGAAGCTGCAATCTGAATCTTAGGATATTGGCGTGTGGCGATGGTATTAGGCAAAGAAGTTAAAACCGATGCATGGAGTAGTCCGGATTGCTCATTTCGAGGCTGTGAGGCAAATTCAGCTGCTGAAGTAATGTCACATCCAGCCAACGCTGCGTGATAAACATTATACTTGGTTTGCCCTGGGCGTAATTCAAGAATGCAGGAATTCTGGGCTTCGGACCTCCTCAGGGCGTCGCTCTCTATTTCCATTGCATGATGAGGCGCCAGCTGATATTTCAGTGCTACTCCCAGAGCTTCTTCTCTCGTTATAATTTCTGCGAGTTTGGGAAATAAAGAGAGTGCTACCCCAACGGGTCCTGCCCGGCTAATATCGCCAATATTCAAGGTCACAACCGGAGATTTGGTGTTTGGTTTACTGGGATGAGTTCTGTGAACCTCAATATCATGCATAGGGTTCGTTCGAAGAGTGTAGAATGGCGTGGATTGTGTTCCAAACATGAAAGTGAATGCATCGACCCTAATTTCAATTAACATTGTCCTATGCAGGGGATAGAAGGGTGTAATTACTTCCGCATTTGCAGATGAAAAATGCCCAAACTGGCTTGGGATAGTTCACCATTGGTGGCTTCCCACAATCGGGCAAGAGCATCTATTGACGAAAAGGAAACGCGCTCATTTTGTTGTTGTACTCGGTTGATAGGAAGGCTCGGAATAAACGGGATCGATGGGCTAGTCTTGGGGATTATAATCTGTGGTAGGGACGACGAGCGGCGGGGATAATATTTCTGTTTCTCAAGTGATACATTCGGATCATAAAGCGGAAATATTGATTTCATTTTCGTTGGGGGTGAAGTCTCGGCATTCGACGGCCTTTCGGTATCCAAGTGAGTTGACACTCCCATTCTACCCCCGGAAGATTCCGGCTTAGGAGGAGGGGAATGGCTTTTGGAGCGATTGTGCAAGATATCTGCACTAGTCATCACACCATTCGGATTCCCCTCGGGTGGTGACTTGGGCCGCGTAGAGCTGGGCATTGCGGAGGGTGTCGAGGAAGACCTGGCTTTAACCTGTCCATTTTTGGCCAGACCAGCGGGAGATTGATCTCTAACAGTCCGCGGAGGAGATGGAGATGCCCGACCCTGCAACCTTTGGGTAACAGTCGTTGGTTGTGTCTGGAGCAGGCCAGATGCGGGGTTTGCTGATTTTGCTTGAACCGTTCGCGCAGGTAACGGAGGCATGATTGCATTCGTATCTTCAATTATCTGAAGTATGACGGCCTCCGTTTGCCCTGGAACCTTGATGTCTTCAATCACGGGAGACACGTTAGGTGATTTCGTTGAGCGCTTTCTGTGCCCTTTTCTAGGTTGATGCGGATGGTTCTGCGGCTGCACCGTGGGAAACAGCTGAAAGGTAGACTGCTGGGGTTGAATCATGGCTACGGGGCTTATCCGAAGATAAGAGGAGCACGATTGATAGAGAGAGACAAAAGCAGACACAGGACTAGGGACCAAACTGGAACGTTTGGAGGGGGTTGTTTGAGCTTTAAGAGTCAACTCTTCAGCAAGCCGACAATTTGCAGAGGAATTATCAAGTCAGCGAGCTGGGTGCGAGCTCGCTCTCAAGACCAATAGCAAGGCAAGCCCTCCTCCCATGTTGAGCAAACCGTTTACCGCCACCATACATTAGCGGGATATCCGGTTCAAGTTGGAGGGTCGCTAGTTCAGATCCGAAAAGGGAATTCTGCAAATCATGAGGGATCATGGTGTCACCTTGCATTGGGCCCAAGCTTGGCTGTTGTTTCCTGAGGAAATCCGTGCATGATTCGTAGGAACAAGGGCCCATTCAAGGGACGGCGCTTGCAGATTGGACGACAAGCTAAGTGATTGGTGAACGCCCCTGCGTTTTAATCACAGCCCAGCGCTTCGACGAAGTTTCCGTATCTGCACATCACGTTGAGAGACGGTCCTGTGTCGAGGCCTGTCAGCCGCACAGCCTGACAATTCCAGTGGCCGCACTGCATCCATTCTTGAAGAGAGAATATGCCCTGGAGCGTTGGAAGTTGAAGATGGATTGAAGCTGCGAGATTGAGGTGGTTGGGTTAAGCTCAGATCAACGCCCGAAACGTGCTAGTCCCGGTGTCATGTGACACGGCCTGAGGCTCCCCTTTTGGCTAAAAAAAGCATCCTTTGACGTGCGGAGAAGAGCCAATGGGATATCAAGCTTAAAATACAAAAATGGCCAAGATCGCTGCTTGGAGCCAAAGGGAGGAATGAAAAAATCTAATAGTACAGGTCGCCGGGCGAATCCTTCACACCGGTTCATGCGTGCTGATGTTGGGCTGCCGTGGCCTCCTCAATGCCTTAGTCGCGCACCGAGCCGGTCACCGAAACATGGCGGGGCTCTTCGTCACCCAGAAGACCTTCGGCCATGGCGATAGCACCCGCCATGTTTTCTTTGTTATACAAAAACAAACCTTGTAGGGCTGCCGTGCTAGTCGCCTTTGGACTGCCCGGTTTCCGATTGGCTTCATCCCCCAAAATCCCGAGCTTGCAAAGCTTTTCGAGAAATTGCTCCCGATAGACTTCGGAGTGTTCGAACTCACCATAGAACCTGTCCCACAGCTGGGCGGCTTGGTATCTCGTGGCTTCGCCAAGCCTAACCGTCATGTCTACGCGACCGGGGCGGACCAAAGCTTCATCCAGCCTTTCAACATGGTTGGTTGTCAGGAAAATGATACGCTCCTCAGCGCTGGCAACTCCATCCATAGCATTCAGTAACCCAGAAAAAGTCACATTTGCCCCGCGGTAACCATCTGCTTCGGTCTGTACGCGCCGGGTTGAAAAAGCGGCATCCACATCTTCCAATAGAATCAACGTTCGGGACGGGATAATAGTGAGCAAATGATTGAGCCGATCGTCCGTTAAGCCCCTCTCGCTGAGGTTGAGAATGGCAATATCGTAATCGAGCTCACCAGCTAGAGCTTGAATGAAAGAGCTTTTTCCCGTGCCGGGCGGGCCGTAGAGAAGATATCCACGTCGATAAGGGATGCCACGGTCATGGTACCATGAAGCGCTGCCAATGAAGTCTTTCACATCCGCTACTATTCGTTCCTTTACACCGGCCTCTAAAATGACAGAATCTAGAGGGCGTTTACGGCGAGGCTGCCCAAACGGGCGCCATTCCGTTCCCCAAGAGTTGTAAATGACCGTCTTCCCCTCATGGGATTTTGCAGCGTATTCATGAGCTTCTTTAAATAAATCTTCAAATACGTGTCTTTGGGAATATAAAGTCGTTAAAGTGACAGTTTCCCAGGGCCGACCAGTTTGCAGGTCCCGTGATTTTGCTTCTCGTACCCGATTCACGAAGATAAACGCGTTTTTATATCGTAAGACATGTTTCCCTGGTCCAGGAATGAGCGAGAAATGTGTGTGGAGAGCTCCGTTGGCCAATTCGACTTTCTCGGTCTGGATGGAGAGGTGCCGCATCCCTGGCGTGATTTTGCGAAGGACGGATTCGACGAACCCAGCTTTCTGGCCTGCAGCGGCAAGCTGAGAGCGTTGATAAAGGGTCATCCAATGTAGAAACCACGGATACGAATCGTCCTTGATACTGATTTCGACGTCGACAAGCATCCGCCTACGGAGGAGTATGGCTCCATGACGGATTCCCCTTTGAGCGAGGGTAAGAGCTGCTCCAAGGCCTGCTAGACCGAAGCCCTAAACAGCTATTAGCTTCCATGCAAGGGTGTGAGTAAAAACTGATTCACGGTTGCTGCTACGTACAGCTGTGAAAAATTGATTGCTGGTAAGCTGAGCGAATAGCCCCTGGTCGGGCTTTTGGGATATCGTTGGTGATTGTCGCCTTTGGAGAATCAGGTCAGCCGCGTTGCTAGCTGGCTGGTCCACCACAGTTGCCGTAGGCTCCATTGACTGTGGTAAGCCTGCTGCGCCATCATCGTTGGGCATCTGAATAGCGATGGACTGCAAAGCCCTCCAGTTGGATTCAGCTTCCGCAGCGAGAATTCGATTTTCGTCCGAAAGTTAGCAGGCTAGCCCGGACTGGGACTAGCGGGCTGAGTCAGCGGCCCTTTAATGCCGATAACCCCGATCCAGGAACGTTGAAGCCTGATTTGGACGTTGAGCAACGGCAGCTGCAGGAGAGCCGCTGTTCTTTTTCTTTTTGCTCGGGACTTATAAGACCGGGTATGCTCCCCGGCGATGGGTATTGCCTCATATTCGTCTTGCAGATATCGTTGACTTGATACCCGTGATCTTTGCTTTTATCCTTACTGTGGACGAATATGGCGGCTTCAACCACTGCAGCTGTCCTTTATGCAGCCACCGTGTCAGTTCCGCCGCAATCTCCAATTCCAGAAGATGCAGAAAGCAAGTCTCACCATTTGAAGACAGGAGGTTTCCGGAATCCGTGGGAGTAAGTTGCAGTCCGGTTACCTTATCACGGTTCTACATATCCTTACACATTTGCAGGTCCTGGAGTACCATCCCAGCCTTGACAATCGTCCGAAAGATGATTGCGTAAGTTCACCTTATCCTCTTAAGCATAGCTATATGAGAAATTTATTTGGCATTCCGTCATAGTCGTCGACTCACTGGAAAGGCAAACATCCCCGACACAACTCCGCCAACTGTTCCTGTACGAAAACCGCAATTTTTGCCAAGCAGAGAGACGCCTAAGCTGAGAGCTACTTGGCTAGGACACGCATGTTACTACGTGGAGTTTCCGAGTGGTTTGAGGGTACTTTTTGACCCCGTGTTCGAAGACAGATGCTCGCCGTTCACTTGGCTGGGTCCCAAACGTTATACAGAAATGCCGTGTGACCTGAAAGATATCCCCTTTATTGACGCTGTTATCATTTCGCACAATCATTATGATCATCTCTCCTATCCAACTATCCGGCAGATTCACCAACAATACCCAGGCTGCCATTTTTTCGCTCCTCTTGGGAACAAGAAATGGTTCGCTGACAGTGGTATTCACAATGTGACCGAGCTGGACTGGTGGGAAGAACGCGAACTCGAACTGTCGCCATCTAGCAACTCAACCGAGGTTACGGCTGTGGGCGATGCTCCAAGCAAACCATCGAATATTCTTGCTCGTATCGGGTGTCTCCCCTGTCAACACACGAGTGCGCGGACCCTTTGGGACAGATCGAAGACCCTATGGGGTTCTTGGAGTGTGGAGTCAGCTAATTCAAAGGTTTACTTTGCTGGGTAAGTCTCTTGAGTTTGCTTCGATTCTTGTAATAGATAGGCTGGCTTTAACTCTAACCATTCATAGCGATACTGGATACCGAGCAGTGCCTGAGCTTCCCAAGGAAGTTGACGACCACGGCCCTGAACATGCATACCCGCACTGTCCAGCATTTGCCCAAGTAGGCCAGCTTCGTGGCCCTTTCACACTGGGTCTAATACCCATTGGCGCATATGATCCTAGATTTATCATGAGTCCAATGCACGCCGACCCCCATGACGCCGTAAAAATATTCCAGGACACAAAGTGCCAAAGGGCCCTTGGAATGCATTGGGGAACGTGGGTCCTGACGGAAGAGGATGTAATGGAACCACCAAAGAAGCTCAAGGAGGCACTAAAACGAAATGATGTCCAAGAGACTGGTATATTTGATGTTTGTGATATCGGTGAAAGTCGCGAGTTCTGAAAATATCTGCCTTTGTTTCTCCTGTTTTTTTGCTGTCTACCTTTGTAGCCAGGTGCCTTATTGCCTCTTCGTGGCTGTTGTGTTTCCTGATTCCTATACCCGGGTTTGCTTGCAAGCATGTACCTAGCATTGTTCTGAGGCCTGTTGGATCGACTCTCTAGCTAATAGCTAATTAATATCACTTGAACCAGGAAGGTTGTTAACCACTGATCTTCAAGGCTTAGCTTTAATGAATGTCCAAAAGAATCTGTTGTGAATTTGTTGGTCTGTATCACCTGACAAGGAACACTTTTCCGGAACCTCACTTTGACCTCACTTTCAGGAACAAATGCCATGCTTGACGATTCGGTCTCATGTTCAGATTGGAGATCAGATCGAAGTATATATATTGTACTTGCAGAGAGCAATATATTATGCTTATCAACAAGGTAAAAGGGAATCCCACCAGGTTGATACATCCTAATATCAGATCCTGAAACTGCATGATTTCAGGGAGATTTGCAAGAAAATGGGGTTGAATGTTTGGAAAAGAAAATGGAGCTGCCGCTGGAAGGATGCAGTACTTTTATTTCTTTTCCTAGCATTTACTTGAGGCTTGGGACTAGATCTCCTCTAGCGGGTAGGGATGCATAGCCTGCAGATATTTAGCGGAAACAAAATGGTTTTGATTGGTGAAAGGCAATCTCTAGATAAATATAAAGAGCATACCCGATCCCGGGAGGCTCGAATACTAGACGATGCGAAGTACATCCGGATATCTCAGTACTTTGAAGAAGAGATAGAACCAGTCTTTGAACAAACCAATTGTTCAAACACTTAGAATAGCACCAGGAGAAACAGTAGAATCTCTTCGAACCATGCAGAATGTGTCCCTTTTGGTTGCCCAGGGTTGCATGATGAATATAAGCACTCTGGCCCCAAAAGGACGCTAAGCAGAAAAGGGAAGGGAGCTATTGCACAGTCCAAACATTAGAAAGCTCTTGTTGCTCTTTTCACTTTTTCTAGCATATCAACCCATTATTTTGTCTTATTGGTGATTCCCAAGCCAGTTGATATTGTTCACGCGTGCTAAGGAGGATAGTAGGCCACTGCCTAAAAAGGCAATCCCACTATTTTAGTGGACGGTATGATCCTGATATCTTGATAGAAAAAGCTGCGTGACTGATAAGATGGCAGGAAATACCCGATCCAGGTGGTGATAGGAGACGCGGAGCGGGATTCACCAACCAAAGTGGTATCGGCAACATGGAAATCCCCAGATCTGAAAGAGACAAAGCGGACATAAGAGAAACCAGAGCCGGCAATGGAGAATCCCAGCCTAGTAACAGCATCACCCAGCAAAATCGAGTTGCAGAGAACGCTGAGCAGCCCCAAGCCACCCCAGCCCGTTCGGTAGGGACTTCAGAGAGGGAGCCACGGGAAATGGCTCGCCAGCTAAGAATTGTCCGTGAAACTTTCGGGATTCACGACAACAACCTAGGGGACATCGCAACCACTGGACTGCCCCGCGGACCGTTACGCGTTATGAATCCTGACCCTTCGCCAGTACCGAGCAGCGGTAGCTCTGAAGTAGAAAGGCACGGAAACACCCTTGGACCCAATGTCGGCGTGCCTCAGCATTCAGCCCGACCGAGGGCCAACTCGCAAGACGCACAAAATGCCGCAGCCAATCGCCAATACATCCAAAGTGCCTTGGATGCAATGGAACGTCCGCCGGCTAGGCACCACGGTACCCGCCCCCCGCCGCCGCCGCCGCCGCCGCCGCAGCATCATCCGAATCATCCCCAGCGCTATGGTCCTCATCATCCGCCTCCGGGCCCGATGCACCAAGCGCGCCCTCCGCCGGCTCAGCCAAGCCGGTACCGAAGACCTTTAAATAGCCCTCAGTATCACCAACCGCTCCAAGCTCCTCAGGGATTCGGTGACCCTGCTCCGGTTCATCCAAATTTTAACGAGTCATACCACCGCGAACCAGACTATCAGCAGCGTCCGCCAGTATACACCCGGGTTCCCCCTCTCCCTGTGCCTCCTATGCGTCCAGAGGACCGTGAGCGGCTTTTAAACCCGCCAAGGGTCCAAACTAACATTCCCAGGTATTACGCTGCGCCAATCAGATGCCAAAGAATCTGGACCTGGATGGACAATGTCGAACCTGGACTGCCCGGTATGTCTCTGCAACCCCCGCCGAAGGAGACAAGTTGTTTGGGCTGACATGTAGCATAGAGGAAGAAGTCGACGAACCACCATTCCACGAGGAACCTTTCGATGATGGCTTGTAGCAACAAAGCACATCAAAGTAGCTTAGTTAAAAGCGGACAGTTCTAACGGCGGATAGTACCTGAAGGGAGATCCCACGGCGTTCACATTGTCTTTGTGGCTATGGATTGGCTTCACGATGAGGTTGAAGTTGGGTTGCGGAATTTGGTGGTTTGGGTATTCGGCACTAGGATGGTTTCGGTTTAGGCTCAAATGGCCTTGCCCACATGGAAAAAGTGACCAGAGCAGCTCAACAGCTTCAACTTTAGGCGTAGAAACCTCAATTCCATACCCTGTTGATAAATATCTGCGCTGCATCAATTGTTGTTGACTTGAATCCTACGTGCTCGGATACCCCTTTGTGTGGCTCCGCTTAGCTTCGTCGCGTTCGCTACCTTCTGTGGGTAAACATAGTCTCACCCCGCCAAAATGCAGGCTCCGGTGGTGGTAATGAGTATGGCATATCTCCCTACAACAGCTTCAGCACTGAGCCTACTGACATCCGTTTAGATACCCAGAATGGGGATAGGCAAGTTGGCAGGAAGGCCCAGATCTCCAATATTACAGCTGCGAAGACGTAAGCAACGGACTCGAAACAAACGGCCCTCTCCATATTCGCTAACAAACCGTTTGCAGCGTGGCAGATATCATTCGATCATGTCTTGGGCCGAAAGCAATGCTTAAGATGCTGCTGGACCCTTTGGGCGGTATTGTCTTAACAAACGACGGTCACGCAATCCTCAGAGAAATCGAAGTTGCCCACCCCGCCGCCAAAAGTATGATCGAGCTCAGCCGAACACAAGACGAGGAGGTTGGCGACGGAACCACCACGGTTATCATCTTAGGTATACTTGGGGAATGACGAGTTTTCCGGTAATGCGATGCTGATCTGTTTTTAGCTGGTGAAATTCTGGCCTACGCACTTCCGCAACTCGAGCGAAATATCCATCCGGTCGTCATTATTTCTGCCTTCAAGCGTGCTCTCAACGATGCCCTTGCCATAGTGGAGCAGATCTCTATTCCAGTCGATATTGATGATGACAAGGCAATGTACAGTTTAATACAGTCGTCAATTGGCACAAAGTTTGTCTCCCGATGGTCTGAGCTTATGTGCGGTCTCGCGTTAAAAGCTGTGCGCACTGTGTCACTCGATGCTGGAGGCGGAAAAAGGGAGGTCGATATTAAACGATATGCCCGTGTCGAGAAAATCCCGGGTGGTCAAATTGAAGACAGCGAGGTCATTGACGGAGTAATGGTCAACAAGGATATCACGCATCCAAAAATGAGACGGAGAATAGAGAACCCCAGAATCATCCTCCTCGATTGTCCTCTGGAATACAAGAAGGGAGAGTCACAAACGAACATTGAGATTTCGAAAGAAGAGGACTGGAATAAGATTTTGCAAATTGAAGAAGAGCAGATTAAGCATATGTGCGACGCGATTCTGGCCCTCAAGCCTGATTTGGTTATCACTGAAAAGGGAGTATCTGGTACGTTTACTATCTTTTAGAGACTGGAAAGAATGATATACTAACGTCTACGTAGATTTGGCCCAGCATTTCTTGGTTAAGCACAATGTCACGGCTTTGCGAAGAGTCAGAAAGACTGATAATAACCGTATTGCTCGTGCAACGGGAGCTACCATTGTTAACCGCGTTGACGATCTCCAAGAGTCGGACGTGGGAACTCAATGCGGCCTATTCGAGATCGAGAAGATCGGCGATGAATATTTCTCCTTCATGCGAGAATGCAAGCAGCCAAAGGCCTGCACTATTCTACTAAGAGGGCCCTCGAAAGACATCCTTAACGAAATCGAGAGAAACCTGCAAGATGCCATGTCGGTCGCCCGGAACGTTATCTTTCATCCGCGTTTGTCTCCTGGTGGCGGTGCTACTGAGATGGCTGTTTCGGTCAGGCTAGGCCAGTTGGCTCGGTCCATTGAAGGCGTCCAGCAATGGCCATACAAAGCTGTCGCTGAGGCAATGGAAGTGATCCCGCGAACATTGGCTCAGAACGCGGGACAGAATCCTATTCGCATTTTGACAGGGCTCCGAGCTAAGCAGGTGGAAGGGCATAGCAGCTACGGTATTGATGGAGACACTGGTGCTGTTGTTGATATGAAAGAGTACGGCGTGTGGGAACCTGAAGCAGTCAAACTACAGAGCATTAAAACTGCTGTCGAGGTAAGACCGAGTATCATTCCGATTATTGAATGTGGCTAACCTATTCTCCGTAGTCCGCATGTTTGCTGCTCCGTGTTGATGATATTTGCAGCGCTAAATCTTTGAAGCAGGCCGCTAATATGGGCGGTGGCGAGGAGTAGCAGCCGTCTCGTCAAGTATCTCCGCAAATTAAACAAGACTGGCATACTCCGTAGACTAGAGGAAATATTCGCAATAAAATTAACGTAATGCTCGCCTGGGTATCCTTTTGGTACATCAATCATCATTCACACAGAACCTGCATTTTTTCATCATCAAAAGGTTGTGGCCATATTTAGTCTTCGTCGTGGATAATGACACCCGGGGTCTCTACATGACTGTTGCTCGTCTCCGGTTCAATTGTATTTTGTTCCTTTCCGGAGAACGACCCATGCGGAGCACCCAGGCGGTCAACCGCCATATCTCCATCCTCTGCAATTGCCGCAGACGGCCCAGCACCCTTCTTTGCTTTTGCAGCCTTCCGTTTCTCTCTTCGTTTCCGATTTTTATCCGTCTTCTCCTCATCCTTGCGCCTCATTTCCTCTTTCCTCTTCTCAAAGTCCTCATTGGCCTTTTCGCGATTCAAGTCCTGCTCCATCAACCTCACGCGCTCATACTCGCGCCTCCGACTTGCCTTGTAGACATGGAATTCACCCGATCCGGCACCCGCGGAGGAGCCTTGCACATTGGCGACGATTTCGGGCGGGGCGGGGAGAGAAGCGGCGGTGCGCTGTTTGGAGACCGCGGGAATGTGGATTTCTTTGCTGGGGTCCTTGAAGAGGGACTCGAGCTGTTTGGCTTGTTCGGAGAGGGGGGTTAGCGCGCGACGTTTGAGCGGACGCTTGCTGCGCGGATCTTGGCTGGTGGGAATCGATTCTGGAATCGGCTCGGACATGGTTTGCGGGTCGAACGGGTGCCGATGCCTTTTGACGGAGCAGGTGGTTTAAGTAGCCGCAATGGAAACAGCTTTGCTTTCTTCTCTTGATCAACGCGCTGGAATGCTTCTAGGTTGTGGCTCTGGTCGGGACTCCCGCTGTTTGACCACGAGCATATCACGTGATCATTTCTTTTGGGTAGTTACATTTTAGCTGTTGCTCCAGTTGACTAGTTAACTACTTCAACGACGAGCGACAGTGACAGCTTCGACAATATAATTCAATGCACTGTGTTGTTTGCCAGGAAAACAGCATAATTGCAATCCCCTGACTTGTTCACTATGGATGCTGTCTCCTTGTGGGTCTACAATGTCTCTTCACTGCTTCTTCAGCAATCAACGCACCCACGTGGCCTTTTGGAGCACAGGCTCACGAGCTGCCTCAAGAGATCTTCATGGCAATGCTCAGCCAACGGTCCCCAAAAACTGGGAAATTTCCTACATGCTGGTTTCGCGTGGGGAGGAAATACTTTTGACATGGATGATCGAGGTTCGAACCGTCTTAGCCATCCGGCTTGGGAGCTGGCCTGTCTCTTCCTCTCCAATTAGATGGGCTTGATTAGAGAGCTGGAGTCGAATCTTTCCCGAACTGCCGATGCGTCGAGCTCTAGTTGAACGTCACATCGGGTTCAGGGCCCAGTGTTTTGTTTCGAGCCCCGCAGAGCTTTCCAGTATCCTCATCCGCGCTGCATGCGGTTGTTCCGCCCTCGCGCAATCGCGTCTGGCACATGTCGTTGTTCGTCTGTGCCATTCGCTCTATATGCTGGCAGCAACTAGGATAATCGTGCTGAGATTCGGGGACAGGTCGTAATTATGGGGGGGGATTTGAGCATCGGTCACTTTTACTTCAGAATCCGTAGGAGGATGCCGCCGCGAAGTAATGCGAAATCTAACCTCAAGGTTATATATAAACTGCAATGGCCGTGCTTTGATTAAAGTGCCATTGCACAACTGCGTCGGTCATTTCGTTGGGAAACCTGCAAATATGCGGTCCTCACTTTCCTTGTTGGCCCTGTCGGCGGGCACTGCATTTGCCTCGTACGCTGGGAACTTGAATTACCGCAGCCCTTCGCACCATCATCCCGCTTTAGGAATTTCTGTGCACAAGATCGCAAAGAGATCAGACCCTCTGTCGTCGTTTGATCCCGCGCAGTTGAATTTCACTCATGGTGTTGCGTCTGGCGACCCTTACGCTACCTCCGTTATCCTATGGACCCGCTGCTCGCCAATGTTTGACGATGTGGATGATAATAGCACTGTGACTGGCTTGGTGCCACTATTTAATCCAGTTCCTATATACAAGGATACTGATGAACACAGGCCGATGTCCAACGCGCCCGTGTGTCTTAAATTCATAGTTGCGGCCGACAAGAACATGAGGCGTGTTGTCGATAAAGGGACGGTGTATACTAGCTCAGACGTCGATTACACGGTCAAGGTAAGCCCCGGTTTTTCCAAGCATAAGATACTACTGTCGGCTTAGTTCTAGGTTGAACATATGCTCAACTAGATAAACAGGTGGAAGCAACGAACCTAAGGCCATTTACCACATATTACTATCAATTCTCTGTTTGTGGGTCTAACAAAAAAAGCCCTGTTGGCCGAACAAAGACCGCCCCGAGGGAATCCCAGTTAGTCAATCGTATCAATTTGGCCGTGTTTTCGTGCAGCAATTACCGTATGCATTTCCCTTTACATGGAACGATCTAGCAGCTGATGGAATTCGATAGCATTTGGCTTCTTTAATGCATATGGTAATCCGGTGCGAAAGGATTCTGTGGACTATGTCCTCCATCTAGGGTAGGGGACTACTATCCTCCTTTGAGCACGCAGATTCAATACTGACTGTTTGGGTTGCCTCGCAGCGATTACATCTATGAATATGCCGAAGGCGAATAGTAAGTTAAAACAGTAGTCCCGCACGCCAATCAAAGTAAATACTAATCTACTATTCAGTGGTTCCGGAAAGGACATTGGGCGGATATCTTTACCAAACCGTCAGATATATACGCTCTATGATTATCGGAAACGGATTGCCACGTATAGAACCGATCTTGATCTACAAGCTAGTCATCAGAGTTTCCCTTGGATTCCCGTGTGGGATGATCACGGTAAGCATTTTTTTAAACATATTCTAAAACGGTTCTAACGTATAAATAGAAGTTGCAGACAACGCCTACCGTGATGGTTCATCTAAATTGAACAACACGGAGGCATCGTTTATTAGTGATGGCGGCGTCTCTGTTGATCAACGGAAAATGAATGCTGTTCGAGCGTATTTTGAATGGATGCCGATCCGGTAAGTTTCGGTGAAAGATCACACTGGCTTCATAAGATGAGTGCTGATTGTTCCCAAAGCCAGGTAGAAATGGATGATAATCTTCGCATCTGGAGAAATTTTCAGCTCGGCTCGCTTGTGGATGTCATCATGCTTGATACTCGAAACTACGATCGGTCGATTACTGATCTATATTGGAACAAGAACTATGTCAAGCAGCTGCAAAATGAAGCTAGTCACAGCTTGATGGGCTCTCGCCAGGAGAATTGGTTCTATCGCAATCTAATCAAATCCTCCAAAAGAGGAGCGAAATGGCGTGTGATTGGAAGTCAAATAGGTGTGTAGTATTTTCCTCGAACCCTTTAAGCGATTTGGATGTAGTTAACGAAGATATTCACCAGTGTTCTCCCAGATCGACGAATCTGCTGCATTCGGAGATGGTCGTGCGTTCAATTTAGATGCCTGGAATGGCTACCAAGCAAATAGGAACCGGACTCTGAAAACTCTCTATGATAACAAGATTAACAATAATATATTGATTGCGGGAGATTCTCATGCTAACTGGGTGAGTGATCTAGTGTGGCTGGGACACGAGAAATATGACTCGAACACGGGTTCCGGGGCCATTGGGGTCGAGTTTGGTGGGAGCGCAGTGACATCCCCATCCCCAGCTGGACATAAGATCACTATCAAAGATTCCGTCAACGCTTCGAAAGCGCTTGTGACTTCGAATCCTCAGCTTCAGTGGTCAGAGCTGTACTATCGTGGATACTTTGAACTTCATATCACACCAAAGGAGGTCCAGAGTCGATTCTTTGGAATACCTAAGCTACGGACTCGCGATTTTGGCGAGATTTCTCTGGCGAACTTCACGATCAAGAGCGGTGCGAACCATTTGGACCGTGGGCGTCAAGGGGTTCCTGCTGGAGGCGTTGTGGAGAACGGCTGGCTCAAAGGCGGAAAGGTAGTTCAAACAAATGCCACGCGGGACACTGAAACTGGGAAGTGGTATGTCAGCAATTAGCAAAGTGTGGAAGAATATATAGGGCTTTTCAAAATAAGAAACTATTCCGTTGTTAAAGGACCCGAAACGGAATATTATCATGATTCAGCATGCGTCAATCTAGATCATCCTCTCTAGCCTCGTTACAGTGGTGGTCTAATAACACCTGAGCCTGAGCATAGAATAATTTACATGATAGATAGAGAAGTACCCCGTAGTATTCTGGCTTTCGTTTCTCAACGGATAATAAATAGGCTAGAACTCGCCCCTTTTCAAGGCAAGACCGTGACTAAGCACTGCTAATTAACGCCAACTCCAGCCAACGTTCAACCCGCAATTCGCGCAGCTTCAGATCTGCTTTATCACGGATTTTGATATGTGAATCCGGATATTTCATCCTTCTCTTGTTAGTCTTGGTTGCTTTGCTCTGAAATTCTCAACGCTTCTGCTCTCCGGCGTGATGCCCACATACCGTGTTGGTAAGACTTCCCACGCTTCACCCGTTTGTGCCTCGCTGTGCGGGACATGTGGCGCACAATAATAGGCCATTTTGGCATACAAGAATCTCTAAATGGCTGCTCTCGAGCGCGGGTCTGGAACTAGATGACCTTTGATGCACAGAGCAGATACCCCCGTCTACCCTTTTTTGATGGCATTGAAGCTCAATACAAAATCTAACGAATTTGTTCGCATACAGAGGAAGCCAGTACTGGTCGTGCTGGCTGTAAGAATAAAGAATGTCAGGAAAAGAAGCAGAATATCCTCAAGGGCGAGTTGCGCCTGGGTACATGGGTTGATACAGAGCGGTTCCAGAGCTGGGCTTGGAAACATTGGTATATTCCGCCTCATTTCCCTGCTGATAACCCCCTAGTAACTACATATGTGTTGTGTTTCGCGCTCTGATATTGAGTGCCACAGGGGCTGCGTAACCCCCAAGCAGGTTGCGAGCATTCAGGAGGTCGTTGGCGAGGACAAGGATTTGTCGCTACTGGATGGATTTGAGGACGTCTCAGCCGAGAACCAAGACAAGATCCGCGATGCAGTTGAGAACGGCCATGTTGCTGATTCCGATTGGAGAGGCGTAAGTTGGAATCGATCTATAGTCAAAATGACGGGCTTTTTACAACCCCTTTCCCATCTTCTAATGACATGGGGTACAGGATATTGAAATGAACCGGCCTGGTAAGACTGGTTTCCGCGTCCGGGCTTCAAAGAAGAAGATCGACGCAGAGGCAGATGTTAGTATTTCGCCTCTCTTTACTCCCCTACGCTGTCTGTTTACAAGGGTCTAGCATGAAACCCCCAAGAAGACCAAACGCCACAGAGGCAAGAAAGGTGGTGAAGACACAGATGCAGAGCAAAGTGAAGAGCCAGCGCCCAAAAAGGCAAAGGCCGCCAGCTCCAAATCGAAACCCGTTGCTCGAGAATCTGAGGGAAAACCCGAAACCGGTGATAAACCCGTGGAAAACCAAAAGCCCGGCCGCAAGGCTTCTAAACCCCGGAAAGCCGAGGAAGAACAGAAAAGTCCTGCATCCACTGGAAAGAAGCGATCTAGAAAGGCTGCCGACAAAGTTGAAGCACGCACTGGTAGAGTGACTCGCTCAATGGCCAAAGCAGGTTGAGCTTCTTAGCATTGAGCCTCCAAACGTCTCTCATATCATGTTTATTCAGTTTCTTTCAGTTTTTTTAGTTTGCGTGTCAGCAAAGCGGCCACTTGTCGAGTGTTATTTGTGATCTCTGAATTTCTCTTATTAGTCGGTTTATCGCACGACCAGGCGTTGGTTGTATGAGAATGTCTAATAGCTAGTTAGTTAGGTATTTGTGTGAACTGTTACTCCGTACCCTGAGCAGGTCGTGGCCCTCAGTTTCTCCCTCTGCATTCTCAAGCAGAATTAACTACCTCGATTGTCACCCAGTACGGAGTACATAATTACATTTCGTTGAAGCGAGAGTCAAACTATCAAAATGAAGATGGCTCTCTTCATCCGGCTGGCTTGTTGGCCGGGCAACCTGTTGAACATCACAAACAGCAACATCACCAGCCCAGCATCAACGGGTCGCGAAGAACACGCTGAGTTTTCCACACTTGACTTTGTGGGCTTTCGCCGTGCCGGATTTAGTTTCGACTCTTGAAATACCGTGAAGACAGAATTGCATTCCGGCATGGAATCCTCACAGAGTCACTCGCAGGCCCAAACATCGCTCTTCCAGGTCTATCTTCGGTTACGACCACCAATTAACCAAAGCACCGAGTCGCAAATCCAAAAGTCGGATTACCTGATAGTCGACCCGCCAGTTGAAGCCGAGAGCAGCAGTGCCTTTGATGGATCCAGAGCATGGCCGACCTGTATCACGCTCCAACCCCCGAACGAGTCGAGGAAGAGAGCTGTCGAGAAGTTTGCGTTCACCAAGGTTTTTGAGGAGCGGGCTACTCAATTGGACGTGTTTGAAGAAACCGGAATGACTTCTATAATAAAGGGAGTTCTAGACGAAGGCCGTGATGGGCTGGTTGCGACACTGGGTGTGAGCGGGAGCGGGAAGGTCTGGCGTCTTCAACTGAATGGAATACGGCAGCTCCTGGAGACTAACAAGGCCGTCTCTGACTCTAGTCCCATACGATCCTCGGTTCGAAATCACAGCGCGGAATGACGCAGATGTCGCTCGATGTCCTTTTCAGATCCCTTGCCCCGTCCCTCCAATCCCCGGAGAACCCGTTGCTGGTTCAGTCTTTAGCGATCTCAGATCCCTCCGAGGCCCAGATTTATTCCGCGAGATCGTTCATCGACGCTGTATACGCTGATCCGTATTCGGATCGAGGACGTGGCTCTAGAGCCCAGACGCCTTCATCGAGAGCTCAGACGCCATTGGTAGGCAGTCCATCTCAGTTCCCATCCCCAAGCCCGCACAAGACACAGAGCCCTTCGATTGGACTTTATGCTTCAGTTCCCAGGCCGATTATTGGATATCCCGATTCACTGAGGGGCTCATGTGCATCTACAATCCGGCTTCTGAATTCTACAGATTCCGATGCAGGCGGTTTGTCTATATGGCCTGCACCTAAGAAGCTTACTCTCCCTTCCCAATTGCCCTTCTGGAGAACTCATAGAATTCAAAGAAATAAAGCTAAACTCCAGTCTTCTCTCAAGGAAACCCCGACTACAACCACGTTCCCTCGCCGTCACCAGCCCCCACGACCCAGTGCCTCTCCACACACCCCCGATGTCAGTGACTTTGTAATTCCTATGCCCGAAAATGAGGAATATGCGGTTTTGGTGTCCATGTATGAAGTATACAACGATCGTATCTTCGATCTTCTTTCGCCAAGCGGTGGAGCGTCGAACCGCCAGGCGAATACCCAAAAGGAGCGCCGTCGACCGCTAATATTCAAACCAACAGAAGGCTCGACGGACAGAAAAGTTGTCGCTGGGTTACGAAAGGTTGTTTGTAGCACTTACGATGACGCACTAATGGTTTTAGAGACCGGATTGATTGAAAGGAAAGTCACTGGAACAGGTAGCAACAGTGTTAGCTCGAGAAGTCATGGGTTCTTCTGCGTCGAAGTCAAGAAGAGAATTCGCAGCGGGAGATATGGGGAAGAATCATGGGTTGGAAATACATTAACAATCGCGGATCTTGCCGGTATGTTTCAATGCCACCTTCTGCGAATTATGCTAAATCAACCTCTTCAGGATCTGAGCGCGCCAGAAATGCAAAAACTGCGGGTGCAACCCTCGCAGAAGGCGGTAAAATCAACGAAAGTTTGATGTACCTGGGCCAATGCTTGCAAATGCAGGCTGGATTGCAAGCGGGTAGCAAGGTACTTTAAAGCCATCATGACTCGGTGTATTATGCATGCTAACTGTGTGGGCAAAAGGCACTTGTTCCTTTCAGACAGTGCAAGCTGACAGAACTGCTGTTCTCAAATTCCTTCCCCTCTGCAAACCAGACGGGACATTCATCATCGAGGAATCCGCAAAAAGCAATCATGATAGTAACTGCAGATCCGCTGGGTGATTTCAACGCAACTTCTCAAATTCTAAGGTATTCCGCATTGGCGAGAGAGGTCACGGTTCCTAGAATCCCGTCTGTCTCAAGCACGATCCTAGCTGTTCCAACCAAACCCGTTCAAGGTGGCAAGTCGGCCTTCCTGTCAGCCTCCGCAGAGGAGTTAGAACGGGCAGCGTTGGAAATTGCAAAGCTAAGTGATGACTATGACGCCCTAGAGTTGAGATTGGCGGAAGAGGAAATGGCACGGGAAGAGGCGGAGATCAGATGGAAGGCTGCGGAGGAGAAATGCTTGCTCCTTGATCAAGAAATCAGAGAAGAGTGCTTTGCAGAAATGGAAGAGCGGATTGAAGAAGAGAGGAAGAGATGGCAGCAAGCTTGGGATGAACAAACTCGTCGACATGAGGACCATCTTGATAAGAAACTAGACCTTCTGTCACGAGGTGTTGAAAGTATGGCTTTCCTCTTTTTAAACCCCCCTGTTGGCATTCTAGCACGAGTTGACAACTAACCTCTCCAATTTTAGTCCACGAAGATCCCGAGCCCTCTGCCGCGGAGCGCATCGGGGAGCTCGAACGAGAAAACGACATCCTTCACAATAAAATCGCTGCTTTGGAGCGCGAATTACTCGCCCGTTCACCCACCAAGAAACCAGTTTTGAGATCGAAAATGAACAATATCCCTGGGCGTTTTGACTCGTTGGATTATAGCTTTGGCAATGGAGAAAGTGATGCCGAGAATAACCCGGGGTCCGTGGCTAGAAAATTGGACAGGCTGCGGCTGGATGAGAATATGAGATCGAGCCCGCTTAGTTTCAGGGGAAGGAAATGATGACCGATTTCAAGCCATTTTGCTTCCTGGTTGTTTTGCTCGATAATGCTGGGCGGCATTCATGTGGAGTCGTTGGATCTTGTTGAACTGGCACGTTATACCCCTAGAAATACGGCGTCTGTGTGAGTTTATGTATTTTATGTGTGAACAACCTTTGATTATTCTCGCTTGATGACCGAGTAACAAAATCCATGGGCATGTTCGCGGCAAGCATATCAATAATGTATGGATGTACAGTACATGCATTGAGATACAAGAAACATTCAAAGACCGTTCCCGCCTAAATCAAGCCGTGGGCCAACTCCATTCCAGCGTAGTGCCCCCTTATCAGGTTTTTCTATCTAAAAAAAGGCATCATTATCCCTATTGAGGGCCTTCCATTTCAAGGTCTGAACGATCCGATTGTGGGATTTCATCGACGGGTTCCGATTTCTTATCTGCCCCTTCCTCCTCGGATACGTTGTCTTGCGGCGAAATCGTGTTAGGTGAATCTCCATCATCGTCATTATCATTGCCTCCAGCGCTATCACCGTCAGAATCACCATCTCCGTCACCTCCATCATCTTCACCATCTTCCTCACCGTCACCGTCACCCTCGCCGCCACCGCCAGCGCTGGGGTCTAGTTCCATATGTTCAACACCTTCTGGTTCTTTGCCGTCGTGGCTGACATTAGAAGATAATTCGGATAGAGGATTTGGTGATGCGAGACGTCGAACATGTAAACTAGGGAATGTGGGTATTGCTTGTTTTGTGGGTTCAGAAAGCTTTGACTCGTCCAGCTCACTTAGCTCACTCTCTTCATCACCACCGTCATGGATACTTGGAACGGCGCTGCTTGGGACAATAGGAGCATCGGATACTAATAGGTCTCCAGTGACTGGCTTCGATATTTCCTCCTCGTCTTCGTTGATAGGTTTCTCGGTGGTACTGTCCTCAGCTGGAGCTCTTAATTCTTCCTCAGCTAATCGCGATGCTTTAGCCGCAAGGCGTGAAACGGCTAATTTTGTAGCAATCGCGTCAGCTTTTCGCTGAATTTCTCTTCTTGTAACTCCTTTAGCTCTTGGTTTTGGTCCCGGGCCTTTCTCCGACGGCTTCTCCGATTGTTTATCGAATGTCGAAGGCGGCGGAGTGCGGCTTCTGTCAGCAGCATCGCCTGCAGAGAGGAGGTGGTCCACTTTCATTCGCTCACGATTCTCTTCTGTGGCGATGCCTTCCAGTATTCTAGGCACTGTGTTTTCGTATAATAGAGCGTATACATCGCCAACTAAATCTTCGAACATACCGGGCTTAATGAGCCCCCCATTAAGCTTTTTCAATTCAACAGCTTCTCGAACAAGATCCATCAACTTGGGGTCCGCCTTTCCGGTCTGGGTCCAGGAATCTAAGTGAGCGGCGTTCGTGACAAATTCATCGTGGCCCAAAGGTTTGAATACCGTCTCCTCGTGACTAGTAGGTACATTGCCCACCCGGCGGAAGAGCTGAAGTAACAATTAGCTCGTGAAGCTCAGTTCAATACACGAACATTGAGAACAAACCTTGATATAAGTTGTACATATGTCCTCCCAAAGCTTCGTGTAATTTACATAATCATTGGGCCTTCGCCGTACACGACGAAGCAGGAGATCTAAACTTGTGCGATCGTCCAGCTGGTCTATGATGCGGACGATGAAGTACAGATATCGAGACGTATAAACAAAATGTCTTCCTGGCCGTTCATTTTCAGGCTTCCAGATTTGCAGAGTCATTGTCTTGGTCAAAACGTGCTGAGAAAGTTGGTGCTTAGCTTGCGCTGCAGCTTGATCATCCTTCGTGTCATCATAAATGATATGGACAGCCTAATAAAAATGAGTAATTGCATGCCAATATAGAAAAGAGGACATTTACCCTTGCGATGATACGATGGTGCCAATTGGACTTGTCAGCTATTTGGAGGTTCTTTAAAATTGTCGTTATGAATGACTTCCATGTGTCCAAATCCTTCACTGGGGATAGCATTTTGGCCCAAGGAGTCACAACGAGCTTTTTACTTGCATCATATGGCTAAGGCTTGTCAGATATTCGGCCGTTCAGGGAGTAAGGTCCATCACAAATACTAACCTTCAAGTCCCCGCGCATCACCAATTTATGAATTACTGATATCAACTTGAAATGAGGCTCGAAAATAGGGTCAGATCTGCTCTCTCTCCTCGTAGGCAAAGATGCAATAGCGGCATCAAGGGAATCTAGGATGTCGTCAACCTGAACCGGTTCATAAGACTCCTTCAACGGGTCTTCGGATGTGAACATCTTCCAAAGGCATTTGCTGAACATATAATGATTGCTGATACAGATTGTTAATGTCTAAGGTAGTCCCTCTGATTCATGAATTCACTTACACCCAATTTGTTGGCTGATCAGCCATGGCTTTTCGAAACAAGTAGCTAGCAAAGTGCCAAGCGGCATAAAGCTTCATATCCCTAAATGGGGGCCCTGTATACATCTGTCGACTCTGACCGCTGCTGAAATGCCGCGTAAAGTCGTCCAAGCTAAACGCACCCATGGAAAAAGGTTCCCTTGACGAAGCATATATCCGAAAGCCAAACTGGGTATACATATCGGAAATGGTTTTCCTTGTTTCTGGTGAAGAATCCGCCGTTCGAATCGCAATAGCGACCGCCATAGCGTACGAATGTATGGCTCGCCTTTCTAGTGATGCTAGATCCGCTCGATGGTGGTTGAGTTTTTCTGCGGACCACGTAATGTCTTCTTCGAGTTTGGAATCGTAAACCTGGCCCAGCCGGTACCAAGTCTCCCATCGCTCAATTCCATGCTCAAGCTCGCGACGAAAAAATGTGGCAGCCAGATCTAGGTCATCCGTCGCTATCGGCCCCACGCGCTTCTGAGTTTTGAATTTGGTGAATGCTGCAAGGCCAAGTAGGAAATACCACCCACTTTTCGCCAACCTGCAACTCTCTGTGTAAGCAGGCACCACCGACACTTGATTAACTCCTCGAACTGCTCGGTATAGAGCGGAAGGATTTATTGGAGACTTTAAAAACGCAGATAGAATCCGTTTGTTTTGCGTGATCGTGGTGTGAATTCTACCTGACCAACCGATGGAGGTCTGTATGGTGTCGATTGTGGATTTCAGGTCGGATTTTAGGAAATCTTTAATGTTCATTCGATTTGCTTGTAGCATAGCAAAATCTACTAACATTAGAGCCGTAGATCTGTCCAACTTCTCGACCGGGCAGCCATGTTCGAGAGAGATATCAAGTTCGGAAGAAAACTTGAGTCCGTGGTAATCAAACAATACCTGTGCAATGTCCGACTCATAGCTATCTTCTGCCTCAAGGGTTAGAAGTTCATGTTTCATCACCTTTAAGAGAACTTTATTTGCACATCTGCAATATGATCGAATTCCAAAGGCGCTGTGAACCGAGCGTAAATAGTTGATGCAGTCATCAGCAGGCATATCGAATAATTCTTTATTTTGTGCAATACCCTCTTTGATCAGCGCGTATTGTAGAGTCCAGGCTCTGACCACCATCGAACGGACCTTTTCTTTATAATGATCGTACGCTTTTGCTGCCGTTGCAGGCCTGACTTCCGGAGGATTAATCTGGCCAATGCGTACAGAATCTTCATAAAGAACAAATGAATGAAGTAGCTTCGAAAGTTGTGCAATAGCAGACATAGAGGATTGTAAGTGGTTCATATCAATGCACTCGAACGAGCTCTTAGGGTCATCCAGAACTTTCCCTATCACGTTCAGCATCAAGTAGTCGGCACGATTTAGCCATTTTAGTAGCGTCTCCCGTCGCTGTTCACTTGGCAAGTCTAGATAGGTAGGAGCTTGCAGCTCCGCGACGATGATTTCTATACTCTTGAGCGAGCATGATATAACTTTTGTTGGATACTGGATGGATTCATAAGCTTTCTGAAGCCGCCGCCAAAGAAGGAGCTTTAAAGTTGCATCGCCACGGTCCAGAAAAAATGCTAAATCCCGAGCCCGTTGAATTTGGCTTGAAACATTGGACGAATTTGCAAGTCCATTTTCTCCTAGGCCGGGGGGAAGGTGCTCGATTGCCGATGGGTCCAGAATTGGCTCAATACTTTCAATCAGACTCACAGGGTCCTCGTTCCCGGGGCCGAAGACCTTCATAAAAAAGTCCATGGAGCTAATCCTTGCTATTTCTTGCTCAACAGCTGAAAGAGACAATTCTGGCATGGTTGGATTGTTGACTAAGGCAATAACGGGCTCATCAAGAAGTTTCAGCACCCGTTTCAGGTCCTCAAGGCACACTAATACATATTCACGCTCCGCATCATCTGTGATATTGAAATGTAATATGGTAGACCATAAATGGCGCAAGATCACGCCAGTTTGGAAATCGCCGTTATCAACAACGTTCTGTTGATGGTTGATAAAAATTCGTGCAACCGATCCCCAGCGCCGTAGTCGATCTCGCTGGAGAGTCTTGGAGGCCTCATCAGCTTCACTATTCGGGGAGGTCATGGACGCGTACATATCCAAATGAAGTTCGTAAAGACTTTGGGCCATTTCGGCCAAAGATAAGCCATCGGCAACTGAAGTTCTGTCGTTTTCAAAGGAGCTTTTGGGTGTGATTGGTATGTCCAAACATGAAGTGCTAGAAAGTAGCTTTCGATACATAAATTCATCGTTCACGATGATCAAACTTTTGACCGAAGTCTTCATCTGATCAGGCCAATGCCGGCTAGCATAAGTTGAGTTTGGCTGGAAGCGAGGAAAGTTGGAGCCCGCACCAGAAGCGGATTTCGACGTAAGATGATGCTCTAGCCAGTTGAATGCAACGTGTTGAGGATGGAAATAACTCAGGTTGGTAGATTGCAAGAAAAGCGATAAACCTTCGTCATCGGGATCACATTGGCTCTGATATGAAGTGCGCGGGTTCTGGCGAGAACGTTCAAGAAAGATATCCAAGCCGGATTGTTTCAACCCTGATAGACCATCATGGGAAGTAAAGATATCATCCTTTAGACTCTGTATCCCAGCCCAAGTCCCGATCGCTTCACGTAGATCCCGCATACTCACGGTCTCCAACTTCCCTTCTTGGGAGAAATCACGCGGAGACATATGCCCGTCCACCCTATCCATGATGTGCTTCAGTTCGTCGATAGTGCCAAATTCTTCCACGCCTAACTTTGACAAAAGTGCACCAGTAGTACTAAACATCCATTGATCGGCATGGGCGAATTGCTCCAACCGGTCCTCAAAATACTTGGTTTGGTCGTAAAAGACATCATCCTGTTGAGCCTGCGCTTCAGCAATGGATTCACGCGCTCTGATCCGTCGGCTTTTTGCCCTTCCGCCGTCGGTCGGTTCTTCGTTCGCAGCGGAAGTAGACGACCTTTTCCGTGACTGAGGCGCGTTAATCTTAACATTGGGTTCGTCTAGAGGAGAGGTGGGTACTTTGTCAATGTCTTGCATGACACTATCCCCAGGTTCCGGGTCGGCAGTGGTAACGTCCTTAATAGTCTTATCTGCGGGTTCTTCTATAGCCAATTCGTTGATTGATTCTGCTTCAGGTCTTGTGGCTTCAGTATCCGCATTCTCCGCCACAACCGCTGTGTGTTCGCTATCTGCGTCCGGGACGTCTATGTCGTGATCGATATTGGACTGAGTGTCCACAGGCCCATCACTTGTATCTCGTTGGATGACCGGAAGTTTGTAAGGGAGTTCAACAGAGTTATGAGTAGGCGCTTGTATCCGCAAAATCACAGAAGGCCACGACGGGCTGTCGGCTTCGGAATCTTCGCGTAGCACACGTAGAAGCGCGTCGCCAACATCTGACCAAGTTTCAGATAACGGCTCAACGAAGCGGTATTGAAACTGTCCATCCTTAAGGCCAAAAGTAGAGCAGGGGGTGATTTCCTTTGAATAGTCGGGAAGAAATGGGAATGAATCAGCCTGTTTCGCAAGGAGGATAGACAAGCCCTTTCTAGGCTGCTGAACAGGAAGCCGTATAAAGGAAAGCTTGTCATGAAGGGTGCTGAGAATTTGGCGCAAAGCCTTGAGGGCGAAAACATGTTCTAGTCCTAACTGACCGAGCTGGCCATCTAATCCGTAGGTATTACCTTCAAGCACGCTTTCCAAGCAAAACCTTGCAATTCGATGGCTCCTTAAGGCACTACCTACTCGGCTAGTTTTCCTCCACAGCTCCAGGTCAGTATCATCTCGTTCAAGCGCCTCGGCGAAGTCTCCCAATGCTTCTTTAATTTGGTTCGTAGCGTATCCGCCGCCCCGGGTGTGGCCTTGGTCTAAGGTCCTTTTAAAAAAGTCTAAAAGGAATTGCGCGTGATTTTTATAGGACAAGAACACAGTTTGAGGAAGCGCACTGGAAGTTGTATTGAGGGCATCTGGGGCCGTGTCACCTTCAACAACTTCATCCCAAGAATAAGGGTCTTCATCGTCCAAATCTAGAAGCTGATCTCTTTTGTATTCGGAGACAGCTTCGGGGTACTTGAAGATCTCGGATTCAAAGAGTGCGTTGTAGGCGTCTTGCGCTTGATCGTAAAATTCCGGGCCCTGGGAATGGAGTTTCAGGGCATTCTGGTATAGTTTAAGAGCTTCTTCTATCTGAATTTCTTTGGTATCATCAAGCTCTTCGAGATCCTCGTCAGGTTCAACGTTCAACGCGACAAAGGAAGACATCACCAGGGGTGGCGACGGCCTCGGTTTGAGCTCGGGTCACGATGAATCCAGGTGCATCGCAGAAGACAAGCTATTGATGCAAGTGACACACAGCAGCTGCAGGTATAGTATGTGAGATGAAGAGGATATTGGGATGCAAGCGGACCAAGCGCAATGCTGGGTGATGGCAGTGCTGAACGAGCGAACATCAAAAGACATCCAGACTTTCCCAATTCAGCATAGCGCGACACCATCTCTCTCACCATCAGCATCAAACAGTGAGCGATGCCACTGAACACTTTATCTCGGTCCTCTGGCATCGGAATTGGCCCTGTTCATGAAGATTGTTAAGAAGAACTCAGCTCTTGAGCACAGGCTTCAATCCAGGTGGCTGTTTGCTTGATACCTTCCAGCCACTTGGCCCATCCGGACCTTTGACATCATGATTGTCCCGGCTGTTCCAGAGTAAGTGCGCGATTGAGCTCGCCAGTGAATGCTTATTGACCGCGTCTCAAATTAGACTTATAGAAGATGAGGACATTTACGCCTCGATTGACGCGCGCACGGAATCTCTGCAGAGCTTAAGGGAACTTGGACCTCCAGATCTGGTTCACGTCGTCAAACAATCGAAAACCAACGCCAGCCACCAGGTCGGTACACCTACAGATGCCTTATCGACTTCTTTCAAGGCCCCCTTGGGCCTTACCTTCTATCCGGACGTCTCTGTACACTGACCATTGGCGACAATTTAGTCAGGAGTATACCACCATGTTATCGGGATCGATGCGTCCTCCTCAGCCAGTCTCGCCGCGTATGTCAATACCCTTACATATTCTCCGCTCGATAAGCATAATAAAGTGATTTCTGGAATATATTGGTGAGGCCGGCAACCCCTCCAGCTCTCAAGAATGCAGCCATTGACACCTTAAAGCTGTTACAATGCTTTCTCCCATTTGGACATGCGTGTGGAGGTTAAGATCCCTGGTACTCTTGAAAGTTACTGCATTGATGAACGTGGAGATAAACGTGTTCCTACAGAACAACTATGGCTGGAGACCTTTGTCTGCGGGGTCCTAAGGGCTTATTCATATGCTGACGATGGTAACGGCGATGCGATCAAAAAGATCGTTGGCGTTCGGAGATTCAACCCGATCACGAATACGGAGATGGAGCATAAGTTTCTCAATGCTGCAGAAAAGCTGTTCTTCAATGGTTTGGGCTTCCCTACGCAAAGCGACCACCTCGCAGGACTAACAAGTACTTTTAGGAAGACAACTCAGCTCTGACCCAGAGACGCAGGTTCCCAACACAGTCAGTAACCATCTAGCATCTGGCCTTTTAAAGTACATCCACACCACTGGGCGATATGCATCGGGTATAAACCTATTTGAAAAGCTCCGAACAAAAGATGTCGAGGTCTCGTCGTTACTCGCTCGCGTCTTAATATCAGCAGATGAGGAAGTCCAGGCAGTGCGGCTATTACATGACGCTTTACAAGATGTTCCTATGGACTATGCTCTTCTAGACTGTCAAGCAGCCTTTTGCCAGAGCAAGAAAGAATACGAGATGGCGGTTGAGTGTGCGAAACGAAGCGTCACAGCCGCACCCAGTGAATTCAGCTCGTGGATACGGCTAGCTGAAGTCTATGTCGACATGGAACAGTGGAATTTAGCTCTATTGACGCTGAATTCATGCCCGATGTTTACGTATCAAGATAAAGATTCTCCGAGGCTGCCCAAGCCGTCTCGGATTCTCCTTCCCATTCTTCCCGAAAGCATGCTGGACGAGATCGATGAAGGACAGCCAAAGCAAGGAGACCCCATGGACATTGTTAGCCCTATGTTATCCAAACTACATGCGTCAAGCTACCAAGGGACCTTCCTGAAAGCTTACAGTCTTCTCACTAAAATCGCAGCAGCTATTGGTTGGGACCAACTTTTGAAAATCCGCAGCGAAGTGTTTGTGATGGAAGAAGAATACAGAGTAGAGCGACAAACAAATTCGGCTCGGCCCGTGGCAACAAGCAACAACGCGAGCACGGTAGCAATTCATGAGACTTCTAGCACAGCGTCGGGCATTAATGGAAACGGAATCCATGATACCAACGGCGCCGAAGAAAGTGTAGCCCAAAATAGTGATACTGACCCGGCATCCGAAGAGAATAATAAAGTAGAAAACATTGAAGCTCAATCGATCGAATCCAAAATTGAGAAGCCCGAACAGAGTATGGCATCGGAGGTGGTGAAGTCTGGGGGTGAAGATGTAAGTTTGAAACCACCCAAAGTCTTCCCTTTGTACAGTCCGGCTTACCACTATATATAGCCCGATACTTCGAAAACCTATACACAGTTCCACAACAAACGTTTATGCGAGAGGTGGCTTGACAATCTATTTATGGTTTTATACGAAGACTTACGGGTCTATACGATCTGGCGTAGCGACTTTGCCCAGTCCCGTGCACAGTCAGCGGAGTATAAAAAGTCTGCCACAGAATGGGAGATCTTGGGAGAACTGGCAGAACGACTACATCATTTTAACGAAGCCGTTGAAGCGTATCAACATTGTTTACAGATCCGCTTTTCACCCAAGGCGCTAAAAGGTATCCTGAAAATGTACGAACGGCAAAACGATACGAGGGGGATGCTCAATGCACTGATCAGGCTTATCGCCTGGCAATACCGCTGGTATTCAGAGGTGAGTTGAACTTGACTGATAGCTTGGCTCGGTACGGTTGCTGATGATATATTTTGCTTCTCATTTAGTTCTCCCCTGAGCTTTTGTATACCATCCGGAAGCTCATTGAAGAAGAAGGCGCCGTTAAGGTCCGCAGTATTGTGCAGGCGACAAATCTACCTCAACCCATATTAGATCTAACACACCACTATTGTCAGCTCTGTGCTACATTTAGAAGCACCGGCAGCGACAGTTGAGAAACAGGGGTTCAGTTGTTTTGATCCATATCGAATGTTAACTATTGTCCCCAAGATATTTAGCTTGTATGAAGCGAGAATAGCAAAATATTTTACCCTGTCCTCTGTATAATCTTTAAAATATAACTTGCAAACAAATGGTTAAGTGCGTTGTGGTGATTCGAGGCCATATCAAATTTGTATGTGGTTCAAAATGATGGAGAAACATTGTTCCTCCCCTGCCCTTCCCCAAACCTGATATCATCCAAAGCAATCATATCATCTGTATTCTGTAATAGATGTAGGGAAAATGATTCCATATTCGTCAGCTGATCGCATATTATTAATATACAAATATTAAAAGTCCATTCGCAAATCCTTCTCTATATATCACGAACCTCTTAATCCTCTTCCTCACTAACAATTTCTTGTTGTGCATTTGCCATAGGAGCACCCGATTTCTTTGCACCTTCTGCGTGCTTAGCGGACGGTAAAGGCTTGTCATCATCGTCTTCCTCCTCTACCTCTTCACCCTCTCCATCTTCTTCGCCTTCTTCTTGATGTTTGCCATTTGTTTCTTCAACTTGGACCTCTTCCTCTTCTAGTTCTGGTTCTTCTTCTTCCTGAGGAGCCGGTCCCGTTCGGCGTCGTTTAGGACGTGCTAGATGAGAATATGTCAGCGGAGAACAATATAACTAGTTTTTCTGGTTTCAGATTGCTTCAGATCATCCACACTGATTCTTTTGACGCAGATATAGAACATACGTTCAGGCTTCTCTTCAGGCTCCTCCTCCTCCTCCGACACTCCCTCCTCTTCTTCCTCGTCGGAGCCGGCTTCTTCTTCAAATTCTGATTCCTCGTACCTATTTGAACATTGTCAGCGATTGAACGCACATCATCAACGCAAAGGATTGCTGTTTTGGCAACGACATAGCTACGTGGCGATGCGTAGGCAGGAAGGGGACGTTGTATGGATCAATTGACGTTCAAAAAGAGCGAGGCTGGCAAGGAAGCGAGGGAGTTCCCAGAGACGACTTACTCCTCTTCTTCTTCGCTTTCGTCGCTAGGCAGAGCTTGCAATTCCTCTTGCTCGACGAAATCCTGTCTTCTCTTTCTAGTGGACATCCTTAACGGAGAGGTATTGGGGGCAGTGAGTCGGTTGCGACTAGACGTAGATGGTAACTTGAAAGATGGTCTTTCAGGGAATAGTAGAAGTCAATGGATGAGAATTCGGCCAGAAACCGGGTGTGAAGTCTCGAGTGACAGTGAGACAGGGGATGGAATGAGGTCTGGGGATGGAGAGTGAAGGCTGGGGTTGAGGGGAACGTGGGCAAGCTTGATATGTGCTAAGCTAACTAACTACTAATAGCCACCCCAAGAGGTACATACGTCAGGGGGGAACCACACCAGGTCGTATCAAGCGGTATCGAACCTCGTAATTCACGTTCGTATTTACGATAACTACAATATCTCCAGGTACGTTAAAAGACTAAGAGTCAGTGGATGCATCACAAGAAGAAGCACAAGCCTTACAGGAAGTCTTATGTAGGTGCTAACTACAATGTTACAACGTCTCACAAGGTTAACTCATTCTTGGGTTACTTTCTTGGGGATAATCATCACAAGTAGCTCTCAAAAACGGCAATCTGGCTCAAATACGGAACAACTGATAACTACAGAGCAAAACCCACAACCAATCTTTACCCCTAGCTATGTCAATTCAAGTCTCACTCAAGCACAAGGAGATCTTTCCTCTAGCCATTGGAAACCCAGTCCTTCAGCAAAGGCCCGTTCTGACCATGGTATTCACCCATAGCAAGCAATATCTTTGCGGCCTGCTCGCGATCATCGGGATTGGAAAGGTTATACTGGTGTGTCTCAAAGACATCAAGGGTAGGGGTCTTCTTATTATCCAGGTCTAGCTTCCCTAGTTTCAAAGCAAGATCCAAGCTATTTTGGCAAAAGTATTAGAACCTCGTTCGAAACAAAATTTAGAGGGGATACTCACTCGGAAATATTCCTATCCGCACCCAAATATGACGGGAAAAAGTGGCTGATATATTCTGGAGTAAATGTTGCATACTTGAGTATCATCGATCTCTGTGTGCCAGACACGAGGAACACACTGACAGAATAGTCAGGCCCAGAGTCAGATTAGATCATAGAAAACATGGGGGTGCACAACATACGTTCGATCGTACTCAGACAACTTTTTGGGGTCAATCGTTTTAACTAATTCTCGAAGCTTTTCAAGGCGCTGACACATCATGCCGATAAGCTGCGATGCCTCCTGAGCAGCCACACATATATCCTGAGAGCCTTCAAGGCCATCTTTATCCCACTTATGAAACTGCGCTTTGGTCTAAAACAAGGTTATTATCGATATCCTTGGAGACAAGCCATGCAACAGCGACTTACCTCCACAGAGCAATACACAAGTGGATCCTTCATTACCCAGTTACTATTGGAATCATACCTTTTCCAAAAAAGACTGCCATCGCTGATGGAGGTAGAGCCGACCCTGGGGGCGCTAATGTAGAATTTTGTAGGCGTAATGTGCCACTCCAACCGCTGCACTTCAGGTGTTCGCTGCCGGGTGCCTCGCTGGTTCAGATCGGAGCCTTCGTAAACTACCTGGTTAAATAGAATCAATGTTACCTGGGTGACTATTTCTGGTTTCTTCCGCCGCTCATGACTAGATTGGTCCGTGTCCTCGCTCTTGGCAGTATACGACTTGTCGCCATCGTCATCGCTTGACATCTCGGGGGAAGACCCTTCCAGCTCCAAAGAATCTGTCCGGACATAGCCAGGGCGCTGGACGGGTTTCGTGTCACGCTTCGGGTGTTGACGCGCAACGTCTTGGGCTTCATCATGGGGTATCTCCTTGACCATGGCTAGGAAAGCGTAAAACGGCCCAACCATGGTTCCTGCTGGGCTAAGCTCCCCCCCAAAGCCCATCGAGAGCTTCTGATGATCGAGTTGGGTTAGGGTACCGGACCCAACTTCTTTAAGTCGCTTTTGAATGTCCGGCTGAAGGCAGGACGTGCGAAAGTTGGCCAGGAATGAAGGGAATCCAGTAGCAATGCGGGCCGCCCTTGGTTTGATCTCGAAGTAGTTGAATTGTTTTGTATCCCACGAGCTCCCGGAAGCACCCATGAAGCCCTTAAGGTTTGCCCCTGAGCGAGGGGGAGAACCAGAAGCAGCCCTAGCAATGCCACTCGCCATTTTTGATGGACGACGGTTTTAATAATCGTAGGGGATCAAAGATGATGCAAAGCTCGTAAAGAGTAAGAGGTATTCGGAGGACTTGCAAGGAAGCAAAGTAACCGTATCAAAAAAGAGGTTGATAAGAGTGTTCAAGGGTAATACATGGGCAAAAACGATCTTAGAAACAAACACCCTGGGGCGGAACTCAACCTGCTTTATATAGCCTGCCGCTGAGGAGGCATGTCCTCCCATAGTCCCTCCTTTTTCAAAAGTTCTGAGGAGCGTAGATTGCTGCCTACTATCATCTCGGTGTGATGCCGCCTACACCCGGAAAATGGTGGATTTGATGCTGTCCAATTGATTTTCACAATAAGGGTATCTTCCCGAAAGCCCATAAATAGGTGAGCGCGTATCGAGAATCTGAAGACGGATAACTAGATTATTGGCTCACGTCTCGCCTTTGCTCCTAGCCCAAATTTAGGAGAGCATCAGACACGTCTTCCCAAAATGTAGCCAGTCCAATAATGCAGGGATAGTTATCCTCGTGAGGTTCTAGACTGAAATACTTTCCGCCGGAGAAGCCTTTTCCTGCTCCAACTTTAGAAAGATTTCCTCGACGCGCCGCACTCTCGTCCCTATGGGCGGCTAGCATGGTCAGAGATTGTCACGCCCGACTTGACTTGGTTGGCCGTGAGGAAAGGCGGCTCGAGCTAATCCTTGCCCAACAAGTGCTGTGCTCGTTCGCGAGGCAGATTTTGCATGTGGCGTTGCTCGAACCAGGAGCCTGTGCCGCAGAAGTGTCGAGTTCAACTGCCCTGTGAGCCCAACTGAAAATGATTGATTATCAAGGGGAGTTTGCACGGCGGCAACTCAAACATGAGGCGTGACGATCATCCTCTGGGTATGGGATATATGGACATCCATCCGGGGAACATGAGCCGGGGCTGCTTCTGCTGCTCCTTTGGGATCACGGCGCTTATTTATTCTCAGCGGAAAGCTTGGCAAGGTGCCAAGTGGCAAGCGCTGTCTGAACAAACCACAGCCATCCCTATCGTGCGCTGAGCGATGGAGCAACAAGCTAGTTAATAGTGAACAACGCCGCAATCACAGTCCAGGCAACAGCAACAAGAAGAGCAGGGCAACGCTTGACCAATCAATTTATTGTGATGCTGGCCCGGCGTCATGCACTTGATTTGTGATCAATCGACTTCAATTCACTGGGAACCAGCCTATTTCATTTTGTTGTAATACTCCGTCCGCCGTGTCTGAACTTGATGTTGGAATCGTTCTTTTCTCAGTGTCTAACCCTATCATGGCCTCCTTAAACCCACCACGAGGCCCACGCTCGATTCATTCCCCTGCACCAGAATCACTGGAAGCCATCCTGAAACGAACAACCTACACCCCAGTGCTCTGCCACCCAAAACTCTGGTCTGATGTTCACCTTGAGATCTTTCGGGTAGAGGGCCTGGACAGGACTTTCCCGCTGGAAGATGTCATTGGGCGGCCCATTGCGTGTGATCCATCGGATGCTCCCCTCCAGACGGCTCTTGAAGGCGTCTCCCGTCCATACTCGAGAGAGCCGTTCGGTTTGGGCTGTAAGCTTTTGCTTGAAGGACTGAATCGCACCGACCTGAGTGATCGCTACCGTGACCGTTACATGAAAGGGATGTGTTGGGAGATGCTACGCAATTTGAGAGAAGACATTCGAAAATATCCGTGCTACGAGCTTTGTCCAACGCCTGAGTATGGCAGCCCATTATTTTTTCTGCATTGCAACTGAGTGCTAACTAATCATTCCCATTCACCTACTAGACGATTTCGCGAGCCTGATCATTTTTTGGATTTTTGTTTTGCAGGGCACACCGTTACCATCAAATCAGCTGAGGTCTTTTTTGACTACCCTGACTATGCTGATTTCCCTCTCAGTTTCTTTCCTATAACATCTCTCTTGTGCATGACCCATGATGTCTACGCGCCGGAAGATGTCTGGAACCACATCCAGGAGGAGAAACGGTTGAAGCGATGGGCCAAGAGATCAAAGTCAGCTGAAATCGTTGCCTTGTTACTGGCAACAGCCCAGCAACAGCTAAAACGCATGGCCAGACCCCTGCAAAGTGAATATGTCCAGGTGTGTGTGCATATTGCCATCACTTTGGGAGAACATCAAATACCTAACTACAGAGTCTAGCCTATACTTATAACTGCCAATGGTAACAAAGTGCAATTTTTCCGGGCCCGCTTCTCAGTACAATCTGTCGATGCGTTAACGGATCCGTCCCAACTGCTTGATAGACCTGCCATCATAAAACAATCCCCGCCATTAGATTTTTACAAAGAATCTGATCGTATCCAGCTGGTTCTTGCGCTGGCAGCTGTGCTTGATGAATATTTCCAGGATATCAGGCCAACATTATCTCCTTATCAGGTCCCTGACCATGAGCAGCCGAAACCGAAACCTCGAAAGCATCGACGCTCAAAAAAGTCGCGTTGATAGTGTAGTGCCCCGATGCTGGGATGAATCTGTCGACAACAATATCTCAAACAAAAGATCAATATTATCTTCGCAAAGCTCCACCCGTGATGCGCCAAACTGACAGCTGGAGGAAACCGATCGCGAGGTCGGCCCGGGACTTAGAGCACATCCCCCCTGAGGGCTATTGATTTTGACCAAATACTAGTTCAAATTGTGGACTGATGTATGTAAATATGGATAGTACATACATCTTGGACGTCTCATCAGCAATCAGTTGATAATGTCCGCGATTCGCAGTGGCCGGTCCGGGGAAGTACGTGGAATCATACAGGTGGCCCTTTGTATGTAGTTGGTAGTTAGTTAATTACCAACCGCTTATCTTACATTCCAGTACACTGCTCTGTGACAGCCAGTAACGCCCGAGCCTGCCCTATGTCGCAGTCACATCTCTGGACGTGCGGCAAGGTGGGAAGAGGACTACACTAGACAGAGTATCTGGTGGTTTGCTCTATCCCTCTGACCCTCTGATCCTCTGCAATCAGGGAGAATCCCATGTTGAAATCAATGAAGGGGTCGGTCATGTGACCACGCGTCGCGCTGCAACAGCTGTTTGCTTTGATTGTTTTGTTTGTCTTGTTTAACTAACTACTCAAAGCACCTTCTCATGGAGTCCAACGGCGCTTTTCTTTCTTTCTTACTCGTTAACTAACGGGTCGATTCTAAGTATTTGCAGGTTGGCATTACAGACCCAATTCACATGGCAGACAACACTTGTGCAAACCCCCTGCTTTTGGGCTGGATCAAGGAATGGCTGGAGCAGGCCCGCCAGCGCAACTCGAAAGGAGTGACTGTGTGAGATTCACATATCAAAAGCCCCCGAAGCTTGTTAACGAATTCGACTCCTAGGTACAAAAAGGCCTATGATTCCATGAAAGCTTGTCCCTTGACCTTCCGTCACCCATCAGAAGCACAGCAGTTGAATGGCCTTGGCCCAAAGTTATGTGAGCGTCTCACGGCCAGATTAGAAGAATACTGCGAAGAAAATGGACTTCCTCGGCCTGACCCTCCACATGTTGGTGTGTATTGAGATCCCCGGTCCGCAGATATGGTCCTACTTGTATGGCGGTCTCTAACCAAAGCACGAGACTCTGTGCAGAAAGATCAAGGCAGAAACGAAAATCCCCTGAAGTCTCTGATCCTCCGGAAACCGTACCAGCCAAACGGCCTAGAAAACCGAAACCCTATGTGCCTACCCTCCGCTCAGGTGCTTATGCATTACTGGTCGCGCTCTCGAGTTTTGAGGAAAGGTCGTCTGCCGGCGCAACAAAAGCACAGTTGATTGACGCCGCCCAGCCGCACTGCGACACATCATTCACAGCGCCAGCTGATACAACGAAGTTTTATACTGCTTGGAACTCTATGAAGACTCTTGTAGCGAAGGACCTTGTTTACGAGCATGGCCGACCCTTGAAGCGATATCTGCTTACGGACCAAGGCCGAGAAACCGCAAAATTAATCCAAAAGGCTACAGAAATGGGGAATCCATCTTCGAGGTCAGGCAATACCGTAATTGCAGATTGCAGGTTCGGCCAGGAGGACCCAAATGCCTCGCGAGGCTCTCTCAGAGAACCCCAGTGTAATAGCCGGGTATCTTCAGCGATCACTTCCAGAAATACGCTATCTACCCGGCGCTCTGATATACTGGGTTTTTGTGATTCTGATAGTTTTTTGGATGTGACACCTAGGGAAAAATGCAACCCAAATGCGACAAGGGCCGCATCTCGCGGTTTTGATGTACCGCGGCAGATAGCGTCCTCGACGTCTGGTATACCGATTCCACTTGCATCGCAGGATTTTACGGTGGAGCTTGTCCTTGATGTTCGAGAAATCCGTACACCCAAGGACAGAGATTATATCGCAAATGAACTGATCAGAAAAGGCATTCAACCTATAGTTCGTGCACTAGAACTAGGAGATGCTTTATGGGTCGCTAAATTCAAGGATCCAGATCTCCTAGCGCAATATGGCGAAGAAGGGGACGAGATCATGCTGGACTGGATTGTGGAACGAAAACGGCTGGATGACCTTGTCGGAAGTATTAAGGATGGGCGATTCCACGAACAAAAGTTCCGTTTGCGCCGATCAGGGATCAAGAATGTAATATACTTGATCGAGGAGTTTGCCATCACAGACTCGTCTAGCGCAAGCGCGGCCAGTACTCGCGAAGCCGTGGCCTCGGCCATTGCCTCAACACAGGTTGTCAACGGCTATTTTGTCAAAAGGACGCGGAACATGGACGACACCATTCGATACCTTGCTCGCACGACGTCGCTTCTGAGAACAATGTTCAGCGATCCGGCTCAATCTTCCCTTTGCCTCATCCCGACGAGCAGTATAACCTCTGTTACGTCTTATCTCGATATCCTCAGTCAATTCCGCGCTGAAGACAATGTAGCTGGGCTGGCCCATAGCGCCGAGAAGACAACAACTTACGCTGTCACCTTCTCAACTTTTTCTACGCTCTCATCCAAATCGGATATGCTTACCCTACGTGACCTTTTCCTGAAGATGCTTATGTGCACTCGCGGCTTGACGGGGGAGAAAGCGTTAGAAATTCAACGCCGTTGGTCCACACCACGGCAATTTGTCGAGGCGTTGGAGGCTGCGGACACCGGAGGCGAACAAGGGAAGAAGAAAACGGAAGAGCTAGTTTTCTCAGAGATGGGCGGGTTGGTTGGGAGAAAGAAGGTCGGTAAGGCGTTGAGTAAGAAGATTGCGGAAGTCTGGGGTAAACAGGGGTAGTTGAATGATCACTTTGGATGCTGAACGGAATCCTCGGTGCGTAAGCAAGGAGATTAACAGTGGTTACCAGAGGAAAATTCATATGATTAGTTCTGACTACCTTGGGATGCTGGTGCACTCGATTACAGGTCAGGGTTATGGCATTAAACAGCGGTCTCGTTTTGATATCAACTTAAGCCTGACCGATACTCAGATACAGCTATTGATGGCATCTGGAAACAACAGCGTCCGCCCTGAATATGAAGCCATGCCTGCCAGAAAACGCAAAGCACTCCCAGGCGGAATAGTTATTCCATAGGACTGTTTTCAACTGTCTCCATTTACAGCCTTAAGCTGCTGAATTCGAACCGGGCATCGTGCGCCACCGCCAACACCAACACGTTGACGCTAAACAATATGCAGCCCATACTGCGCTTCTAAACGAGGGCAATCAACTCTAGAGTCAAGGGAGTTTTTCATTTCCATGTGCATCAATCAAAGAGTTTGTAACTTAGATAATGATTCTGCAAATCAAAAATCATTGTAATTACTCAATATATTAGCTTAATATCGAAAACAGCCAAGTGCTCTGTTAATCCAAATCACAAAACATCACCAACAGCAAAAGGAAAAAAGGAGGACATCAAGGGGATATCGCCAGCGAAGCTTTTCAGCAGCGCAATCCACACACTGAAATTGTCCAGCGTTGGCATTGCAACATGCAAGGGCATCCACATAGACAGTAAACAAGCCCATCTCATCACTTCCTCTTCAGCCCCAACAACATCTTCCCAATCCACTTCCGAACACCTCGCCACTCCAACCTCAGCGCCAAACTGCTCAACACAACCGACAAGCTGCTCAACGCCATCGCCAGAGCCGCCCACACCGGATCCAGCCGCCAATGGGTGTTCACAACCCGCCCGTGCGCATCCGTCTTCGTTCCGCTCACAATGGGATAGAAGACGCCGGCCGCGACGGGGATCAGGCACACATTGTACACCGCAGCCCACAAAAAGTTCCATTTCACGCGCCGGAACACGCGCCGACTCAGCTTGCAGAGCTCGAGGATGGTGCGCAGGTCGGAATTGAGGAGGATGAAGCCTGCGGAGCTGACGGCGACGTCGGAGCCGGAGGCCATGGCGATACTGACGTCTGCGGCCGCGAGGGCGGGAGAATCATTCGTGCCGTCGCCAACGAAGCCGACGATGGTCTTTTTCTGGGTACCTCTGTGGGACTCGGGGGATAGTTCGTTTCCTTGGATCTTGCGGATGTATTCTGCCTTTTGGGTGGGGAGGACGTTTGACATTACGTTTGAGCTGGGGATGCCGAGGGTCGCAGCGACGGCGTGGGCGGTGACGGTGTTATCGCCTGTGCACATGTAGACCTCGATGCGGTTGGCGCGAAGCTGAGCAATGACGTCTATGGATTCGGCGCGGATAGGATCAGCTGTAGCAAAGACGATTGCCGGAACGAACTTGTCAGTGTCGGACACTCTGCGGATAGCAAGAATAGCAGTCGAACGTCCTGCGGATTGGTACTTGGACAGGAGATTGTCCAAGTAGTATGTATCGTGATCGGCGCTGACAAGAGACTCCAAAAGGCGCTGATTTCCAATTGCGGCCTCATATTCAACCGGGACATCCTGGGGATTTGCTGCGGGAACGGTAAAGGTGCCCTTCATCCCTTGACCGCCAATTTCAGTGATGGCAGACGAAGTAGCGGAGACTGCCGATCGACCATTGCAAAATTCAACAATCGCTCTGGCGATGGGATGGGTGCTGCTCTCCTCCAAGGTTTTGGCAACCGCCCATGCAACTTGTTCCAACTCTTCGTCTTTGATAAGCACCTCATGATCAGACACCTTCAGGGTGCCTCCCTCAGTTAAGGTGCCGGTCTTGTCAAATACAATGGCATCCAGCTTGCTCGCCTCTTGGAAAGCTTCTCCGCCGCCCCGAACCAGAATACCTCGTTTAGCAGCCAGACCGCCACCAACAAACAGAGCGGTTGGGGCAGCCAGGGCCAAACCGCAGGGACAAGCAACAACGAAGACGGCAATGGCAAACTGTAAGGACCAGAATGGCCACCCTCCTTGGGTGGTATCGAGGTAGTCCGAAGAAAGCCTACCGGATTCGCCCAAACCAACCCAGATGACGAAAGTGAGGATGGCGATAAGGGTAATAATAGGGACAAAGTAGCCCGTCATAATATCCGCTACTCTTTCCACTGGAGCCCTTTTGGCTTGTCCCTCCCGAACCACCGCCACGATCTGATCCAACATAGATGTGCTACCGAGATCAGTGACCTGGATGGACACCGGTTGCCCAACGTTGACGGAGCCAGAGAAAACCTTGTCACCGGCAACTTTGCGCACAGGCATGGACTCTCCGGTCAGCGAGCTTTCGTCGAATTTGTATGTGCCGGTTCCCGTAACCATCCCATCAGCCGGTGGAGATGCTCCATGGGGAACGTTCACGATATCATTAATTTCGAGGAGGTCGACAGACACACGCTGAATGCTAGATCCGGCACCTTCGTCTCCAGTAGATGGGGTTTCGACAACGAGTAATGCTTCAGATGGCCGCAGTTTACCGAGCATCGCAACAGCATCCCCGGTTTTAGCTTTGCTGTAACCCTCAAGAGCTCTGCCCGCCAAAATAAACAACGTCAGAAAGACCACAGTATCAAAGTATGTGGACGTGTGTCCAGCCTCATGCTTCTTGCTTTTGGCATTGACGATCAAAACGGCCAAGGAGGCAAAATACGCGACAGATGTACCAGCAGAGATCAGCATGTTCATGCTCCCGAAACGGTAAAAACGGCGAAGGAAGGGAACACGGCTGCCGGGTCTCCACAAGGCTCGTATCTCCTTGAGAGCACGGACGTGGAACACATCGGTGCCGTATACCATCACGGGGGTGGTCATGATGAACAAGGCCCATTCCAGGCGGGATGCAGAACCAGCCCACATGGGTTCCTCCAGAAACTGGCGGATTGAATTTGACTTGGGAACGACGGCCATCCAGACAATTCCAATGAGGAACGTAGGTATTGCGACAATAAAAGTGAACAAGAGACGGAGTAACAAGCGATGTTGCTCCTGCTTTTGCATTGCCCGAGAACGGTCTTCGATGGACGGTGGGTGGTAAACACTCGCCTTGAAAGCTTTGTTGGATGCTTCAATGGCGGATATGATGCTTCGAACGGTCATGTTTGGCGGGTCAGGGAGGTAGTTTATTGCGACAACGGGTTTTTGAGTAGTTAACTTTTCTTGCACTTCGATTTTACCCTCTGATATGTCTTCCAAAGCGCTCAAAACGGTTTGAGGACAATGATGGCAAAACATCCCGTCCACCTTGATCCATATGGTCCGGGGTTTCGGACCACTATCGGTAGCTTCGGTGCCGGCAACGGGCTTACAGTCGATGACCGTGGCATCGTATCCCAAATCTTCGATACTTTTGAGAATCTGTGGGAGGTTCGTTTCGCTTTCAAATTCGACTCTACCAGAATGACCCAGCAAGTCGATGACGGCGTCAGTTACAAAAGAGAAAGCCTTGACACCACGTGTGATAGTCCCGACACAGGAACCGCAGGTAATTCCAGATATGCTTAGATTGGCCACGTAGAGGTCTCGTTGTCGTGGTTTGAGAGTTACTTCCTGAGCGCTGGCTCCATAGCCGATGTCCTCGATTTGCTCAACAATCTTGTCGATATTTTCTCTGCGGCCTCCATAGGTTATGGCTGCGCTGTGGGTGAGGAGATTGACACTGACAGACTTGACAAAATCAAGTTCTTGAACTTGTGCAGTTACTGTATTAACACAGGGACGCGCAGGTCATTCCGCTGATGCTGACCTGAGCGCTGTATTCATCCTCATCCTTGTGTTCAGCCTGTGTGGGCTCACGGGGCTGACCTGACGGGATCTTCTCTGCTTGGCGCTGGAGTTGATCCGATGCTGACACTTGAACCCTATGACAGTGAATGTGATAAGTAACGGAATAAGTGAAGATTCTTGGAGAGAGCAAATGTCGTACCTTTTCTAGAGGAAGCCATGGCCCTTCATTCAAAGCAGGCTTTTCCTGCTCCTGTTTGCAAGAGTCGCAGTTGGCAATGTGACGACTGTTTCTGTCCTTTGCACGTGTGTCCATCGCGGCCAGGGAAAGGTGAGAAGTAGGGCGTAGCCAAGAGCCTGCGTTCCAGGAAGAGGTGTCGACATCAATATCGTTGACGGTGACCCCTAGCTCGTTTTGGGTGGTTGCATGGAATACCTCAAAGGCAGCATCTGTAAGGGCATCAACCAGCTCTGTAGGCTGGAGCTCAGAAGAGTGCGAGACCCGAACTTCATGCTTGAGGATTGAAATATCAACGCGGGCAATGTGCGGTAGGTGGAAGAGAACCTCTTTGGCGTATGTCACACAAGATGCGCAGTGAATATTGTTGACCAGGAGGATGGTTGTCAGTGATTTGGGCCGACTGCTGGAGCGGACAGGGCTCGAAGGACGAGTGAAACCACGAGGCGGTGATACCACAGGGCGTTTCTCCGCCATGACTGCTGGAGCGCTTTGTATGGATCTTGCCGGACTGGCGATACGAAGGCGCGGGTTGGGGGATGGGTGTGACTGCAACTGTGCTGCAGCTGAAAACAAAGCAGGATGCCTCTTTCACCAAGGTCGGACCGGGAAGCAGGGTATTTGTCAAAAGGTCAAAGAAGCATGAAGGGATATATAGTATAGGCAACTCTCGACCACTCGTGCAACCAGCCGTATGTATGCAGGATGGATGCAATAGGGGAATCAAGACAGAACTCGGTATCCTGCAGTAAGCTAAAAGACAATTGCAAAACGGCGGATATCATGGGGTGCTGGCGGGATATTTAAGCTGGTCTGAACATTCTGATACTGGTGGCGATTTGCGAGACTTGTGCGGATTTGATGTCATGTTGGCGGTGCCTGACGCACAAATCGCTCAGGAGAGAGCAGCGAGCCCAGAGCCATCGAACTACCACGAATCTTCAGGAAAAAAGAAAACCAGAGCAACAAGGTGTTGTGAGTGCGGGCTGCAGGCAAGACTCGCTGAGTGCATTCCGCCATGTTCGTCTGCTCTGCCGCTCTGCCGCAAAAAAAAGAACCAAAAAGCATCGCGGACTCGAACCCGCGCCGTCCTGCTCTCCACGTGACCGTACACTGGCCCGCTGCACCACCGCCCGGCAAAACCAGCACTTTCATCACGATCAACGATGATATTGTAGTTACAGAATACACCCTCAGCCATCGCACGTCTACTCAATTCTTTGCGAATTCCACTGTTTGAGCCCTGTGGCCGACGTCGCAGGAGGCTCCTTGCTTTTGTGCTCCCGACTGCGCATTGTAGCGTGTCGAGCCTGCTACTACTCTACATTCTGCTTCCGGATAACCATTTATGGCGACGATACGCCCAACACGCCTCCCGCCTCCCTCGCGGGCTGCCAACCGCCCGGTCGAGCGCCTCGCTAGCTTGAAGAACCCTCACCCAACCCCGATCCGACGCCCGCAGACCAAGCCCACCACCCATCCCAAAACCACCACCTGTCCAAACCCGGGCTGCCCGGCCCCGCATATCGTCGAGGATGACGGCCAGAAAGTGTGCTCCGGCTGCGGCACCGTCATCAGCGAAGCCAATATAGTGTCCGAAATCACCTTTGGCGAGTCCTCCTCCGGCGCTGCCATCGTGCAGGGCACGTTTATCGGCGCGGACCAGAGCCATGGCCGGAGCACTGGCCCCGGGTTCCAGCGGGGTGGAGGGGTGGAGAGCAGAGAAATCACCGAACAAAATGGTATGTCGCACCAGTCCCATCATGTTGGATATGCTCTGTGGAACTAATCGGATCCCGGGGCATAGGAAATCGATATATCGCCCAACTGTCGCGCGCCCTGAATATCCCTGAAAGCGCCTCCAAAGCCGCTGGACAGGTGTTCAAGCTTGCCGTAGGACTGAACTTTATTCAAGGGCGACGGACAAAGACGGTTGCCGCCATCTGCCTGTACGTCGCTTGTCGACGACAGGATGGAAATACGGTCATGCTGATCGATTTTGCTGATGTCTTGATGGTATTGCTCTTCCCCGTTCATCCCACTCAAACTCGATAACTGACTTCTCGACCAGATCAATGTCTTTAAACTAGGCCGTACCTACAAAGCCCTCCTGGATGAATTACGACTTGGGGGCAATATCTTCATCATGAACCCCATAGACCCCGAAAGCCTGATCTATCGATTTGCAAAGCAACTAGAATTTGGTCCGTCGATGATGCAAGTTGCAAGCGAAGCCGTCCGCATCGTACAAAGGATGAATCGCGACTGGATGATCACCGGACGACGACCAGCCGGTATCTGTGGAGCTGCGCTGATTCTCGCTGCTCGCATGAACAATTTTCGGCGCACCGTTCGGGAAGTCGTGTACGTCGTCAAAGTCACAGAGCTGACTATCCATCAACGTCTCAATGAATTCAAAGCCACAGAGAGCGGTGATCTCACAGTCGATCAGTTCCGTTCAGTGGACTTGGAAACTTCACACGATCCACCTTCGTTTAGCCACTCGAAAGATCCTAGGAGAGTCAACAAAAGGAAGAAACGAAAGGCCCCGGAAACCGCGGCAGAAATCGAAGACGATGAGGAGGATACAAGCCCAACACCGCCTGCCTCAAAGCGCCCTCGTCGAGTCGATGCAGACGGATTCGCAGTGCCGGATATCCCCATCGACCCGGCGATTTTAGGTCCAGAGGAACAAGTCCATCAATTATCCACAGAGAGCAACACTACTACCAGTGGAACAGACAAACCCAAACAGCCCAAAAGCAACAAGAAGCAACAGATTCCGGAGCCTACTGAAGAAGATTTGGCGTCAGAGTCCGCACTCGAAAGTGAAATGACAGCACTCCTCTCCTCTGGCTCTTCTCTGGTTGCCAGCGCCGGACCTCCCAAGACTACCCCGCCTTCCAACGCAGAATCTTCTTCCGCAAAACGGCAGGGTAAGCCGGTATCCGACAGTCAGGATATTGATCCCGCCGAGTTTGATTCGGACCCTGAGGTTCGTCACTGCCTACTCTCTCCGACCGAAGTAGAAATCAAAGAACGCATCTGGGTCCATGAAAATAAAGACTACCTGCGAGCACAACAAGCCAAGGCCCTGAAACGAGCATTAGCAGCAGCAGACCCGTCAACCGCAGGCGGAGCGCATAAACCTCGAAAACGACGAAAGGGTCGCATTGGAGACGTCACATATCTAGCAGGCGAAGGCGGCGATGGTGACAGGGCCTCATCACGCGCGTCTACCCCAGCGGAAGCAACCAGGCTCATGCTCGAGAGAAGAGGATTCAGCAAGAAGATCAACTACTCCCTCCTCGAAAAGCTATACGAGGACGACGTCGAAGTCAAACGCAAAGAAAGCGAGTCCGAAGGCGTTCAAAGCCGCAGCCGCAGCCGCAGCCAGAGTGTGGCCCGAAGCATCCGCAGCTCCAGCGTCGTCTCCGACCGCGGCTTTGGCGGTTTGAACAGTCTTCGGTCGTCTGCGCGCTCGAGGATCCTCAAGGGCACACAGGCCGCCGCGGCGGTGCTGAGAGCGAGCGCGACTCCCGAGCCGAGCAGGAGAGCGTTCCCCGTCCCGCGGGCCACCCCGGTGGCAGCCAAGGTGCCTGAACCGGAACCGGAACCGGAACCGGAACCAGCACAGCCTTTGAATCCAAACGAAGAAATCCTGGGGTATATTCCTGAAACGGAACCTGCGCGACCTACGGTGGAGGGGGGATATGATGAAGACGAGGAGGAAGAAGAAGAAGAGGATGAGGATGCGGAGGAGGATGATGACCGGATCGACGCGGCGTTTTCTGGGAATTATTATGACGAGGGTAGCGAAGGGGGATATGACGATGATTATTGAAGTGCATTTGGGGGTTTTGGAAGCAGATTTTTGCATTTTGTGCAGGGAGTTTGGAGAGGGGTTGGCAATGACCATTCTGGTGGTATATACACGTTTGGTCGTCATCATCGTATTCATTCCGGGGGGGCCCGTGGGGTGAATTTTCTAGGGCAAAGTAATATATATCTAACTAATCTTTTGGCCGCTTAATATGAATATACTGTTTTACACATTGAATGTTGCTGGTCTTTTTCGGGTGGAAATGATGTTCGCCCAAGAGGTTGTTCAGAAGCAGGGATTTGCGACTACGACTGACTACGAAAAGCTGGACTGAGATGGGCCAATTGACGATAAATGAGAGCTGCCGTTGAATGAGGTCAAGGTCACACTCAAGAGTACACAGTGCTGGAAAGTATAGATTTATGGATTTTGCACATACATAAAACTACAAAAAAAGGAGAGCATAGAAAGGAAATAAAGCCGAGACTGATAACTGGCGGAAAACAAGTAGCAAAAATACAATGATATTGTAGTGAAGATGGATAATAGATAACACTTCGGAATGATTTACGAAGATATATAGAAATTTGAAAAAGTTGCAAACCTCGAAATAAAAATAAAACAACTCTCGAAGCAAAGATGGACGCGACCAAGGTTTTTTTTTTCCGAGATATATACGAGTATGCTTTATTCGTCGTTTTCGTTGGCGAAAGCTCTATCGGTCGATGTCCATCGTCATTTCCATCCCTTCATTTCCCATCTTGATTCCGTTTCCGGTCATGTAAAAGGCCCCGTTCGGGATTCCTGTGTCTTCAATCAGTCGTTCCGGAGTCCGCTCGGCCGCTCTCATCACTTCGGAGCCTGCTGCAAAGGCAATAGGATTAGACTTCAGGTTAGCGAGAGAGGACTCCCAGGTTTTGCCGACAAGCTGTCCTTCAGTCAGGTCTTCTTTGAAGAGGTAAAAATGCTGTTCATTGACGTTGTGGCCAAAGCCATTCATGGGTGTGTCGAAAACTCCCATGGAGTGATAGTTGGCAGGCTGAGCGGTGACGAGGTATGCGTTGAGCCCTCGATGTTTAAGCAAGATTTGAGCGTTCTCAAGGAAGGTCGAAAAATGGTTATTGATGTACTTTTCCCAGCCACGAACTGCTGACGCCATGTCTTTGTCTTGGGTATCCACACGCTGCCAACTGATTCCTAAAAGAAGGGTTGCATCGTCGATTAGTGGGGTCTGCGGGCCTGAGGGACCCGATAGTGAGGTGGAAGTAGATCCGTTGATGTTGCGATAGGTATCGTTTTGCACGGAAGAATGGAGTTTGCGTTGGATGGCAGCGGCAGTAATATCATCCCAGCCCGCGGCAGAGGAGTCGAGACGTTGAGACTTGCGGCTGAGGAGGTCTGGTCGGCCAGAACCGGAGGCAACAGCAACGGGAGGGGCGGCGGCGGCTTCAATCTCGGCTTTCTCTTCAAACCAGGTGCCGGTCTGACTTTCAGCTGACAGGGCAAGGCCGGTGCGTGGGTTCAAAAGCACCATTCCTTCTCCATAAATTGGCTCTTCGGGGGTCCGAGGGGAGGGGGCATGTTGAGCTGGAATGGTTCTTGTCATATCATTCTCATCGTTAGACGCGTTAAATTCATCACGGGATCGTTTGCGGGACGGGTTGGCGACTAAAGAGGCCGGAGACGAGGCCGTGGTTGACAAACTGGGAGGGCTGACTGAAGACTTGGGAGGGTCCGAAGGGATGCCATTCACAGGAGCGGAAACGGCGCCAGGACGGGGGAATTGGGGGCGGTCAGGTGTGGGGTCCGAATAACTGGAGGCGAAAAAGGAGTCGGCGTTGTGGAAGTACGGAGGTGAGAGCACCATTGTTGGCCCGTCGGAGTAGGTGCTGAAGAGCAATCGGCACATGGCGAGCTGGGGAGAGTCGGAAGGGCCGGCAGAGACGAGAGCAGGTGTATTGGTATCTGGATGGTTAAAAGAGGCTTTGGCTATTAGTTAGATTAAGCAAGTATGATATAACCTAGAAAGAATAAAAGTAAAGAGAAGCAATTGAGAGGCGATGAGGTGGGTTCGGCTGCGCGGGCGGAGGAGGCCGGAGAGGTGCGGTGTGCTCAGAGGGAGACGAGCAAGTATATAAGCAGCGGCAGGTATGGAGGCTGTTCTTTGAGAGGCCGAAGATGGATTGGCCCGGGGTGACAAAGAAAAGAAGGGCGTTTGTCACGCAGAATGAGAGGAGAGAGAGAGGATGAGTGAGGAAGAGAGGAGGAGGTGAAGTGAAGAAGAGAAGAAGAGAAGAAGAGGAAGAAGAAGGCTGAACGCGAGGTCGGGGAACCGGCGCTAGACTGCATGTGGAAACATCCCATCAGACGGGTGGTACAGGTCGGTACTTTGGATATGCCGTCTATACTACCAGAAACGAGGTACTCCAAAGTACCCAGCATCTACCGGGGGTGTGGCCAATCAACGACCGTGCTAGGCCCCGCTGATTGCCGGAGGAACCACGAGCCAAGCACTCAGCCAGCCAATCAGGCAGCAGGGTTTGCTCCGAAACAAGCTTCCCGGCATTAAAGGCGCCAATCACCGATGAGCTGCATGACTCGCGCCATCACGGTCTAGCGCGGCTTGGCGGCAACAAGACTAGCCTGCAATAGGTTTAGCGTCAGAGTGCCCAGACGGCTCACAAGCGACGGATTATTAAAGTCCCGCTCCGTAGATCTGTCAGCGGCTGCGGTCTGACAAAAGCGGTCTCACAAGTGGAAATGCTACCTGCATCATCATACAGAGAATAATAATTCTAGTAGAAACGTTGATACATGAAAGGAAGAGAAAATGGAAGGGTCATTAGAAGGCTATAAAACGGTGGTAAAAACACAAGGACGCCAGACCTGACTTTTCCCGCACACGCCACCAAAATGTCCATTGTGTGGCCTGTGAAAGCATTTCTATATTACCTTTTTCATATTAGAGCCAAGAGGCTGAGGTGCTTTCTGTCGAAATCACGACTGTCGAGGCGCATAACAGCTGTAAAGGCCTTGGATATCCGTAGACACTCCCGAGCGGTTTTTCGCACGGATTTCACGCATTGTTCGCCGTCGTTTTGCCCGGGATCATACCCTTGAGGCTGTTGGGATCATACGGCCCACCGACTTGCACCAAGAGGCAGATGATCACAAAGGCAGAGACGCCGACGACGATAAGGCGACGCCTGATCGGGTTGGTGGCACCGTATTCCGCCCACGACCGATTGGCCTGGCTGGCATATTCCTTCATCTTGTCAGCGCCCAGCTTGTAGTAGAGCAGGCCCCCGATAGCGATCGTATATCCAAACAGTTGAAGCGGCGTCACTGGCGTCTTCCACCACATTGCGGAGATGGTGACCAGGAGAATATCCTTCAAAACACCGCACAGCGTCAGAACGAGAGACGAGGTTTTGCCAATCTATTCGCGCATGCAATCAGTCATCCTTAGTCTGTGTACAAAACGTGGACGGGGCAACATACCAGGAAGACAACGGCAACATTAAGCAAAAAGGCCACCATTCCGTTGGCCAAAAGAGTAATCAGCCCGGCCTTTTGGATATCTGCCAACCCGCACCGTGGGATTTCGACAAACAAGGCGACCACGAAATTCATAACGGCACAGACAGGGGCGAAGTAATAAAGGGAGACCAGCGGGTCCATCTTGTATTCGGCTGAGCTCAACAGACGCTGCACCATGACAAGTCGAGTGGCCTCGAACGCGATACCGCCGATCTGGAAGAGAAATCCAATCAAGACGAAATGGATTTCACCAAACGACGCAATGATGACTCCGAGCACAATGAACGAGACATTGAACAACACTCGCATATTGGGAGGCGCCATTCCCAGAGACCAGGTGCAGATGAGTACGGCGACGGGAGTAGTGGCCTGCAGGATAACGGGTTAGAAGAGGGTAAAAAGGCGGGTTTCCAAGAACTACGTACCTTGAGCATCTGGATAAAGGCTACGCTCAGGTACAGGTATGCTACGTTGCCGCAGATCAAACTCAGGCTGAAAAAGAAACCAATCGGGACAATTGCACGGAGGTAAACCCGGCCTGTCATCTTAACCTTCTTCCGGCCGTCAAGCAGAGTGGTGGTGCGGGCTAGGACCTGGGTCATGAACGCTGCAAATGCCAAATGCCATGTTGTGAGGATGATCGCTGTAGGAGCGGATTAGAGAGCAACGATCAACGAAAATGGAGCGTGGATACATACGAAATGCTAGAGTCCGCCATCAGTCAGTGTTATTCCAGGATCGCATCTCCTTTCGAGATTGCTGGTTTGGGTTGACTTACGGAATATGCTCTCCTTCTCGTCAAGCAGGTATTTGTTATAAAGAATCACGGAGGAGCTGAAGAAAATCCACGAGCTACAGCAACGAAATCCCCGTGTCAGCCAATGCCAGCAGATAGTAAAACCGAGAGAGCTGGTTCCTCACACGACGTAGAACGCAGGATGCAGTGTCGACTTGGGGGGCTCTGTCTTGGGAACGGCAGGGTTGACGGTGGGCAGGACCGGAGCGTCAGCGGTCGAGGGCGACGAGGAGGAGGGAGAGGAGGCGGCTGGCTTGTCCTCGCCGGAGGATCTCGATTTCTCCTGCTCGGCGGCAGACATGGCGACGGTCGTTGAAAAGGAACGAGCTTGATCCGCAATGAACCGTTGAAAGTCGAACGGCCGCGATCGAAGCAGGTTACTTCGACCGAATGCGCTGGAAGCCAGGGGGAAAGGGGTTCAGACGCAATTCCAAGCACGAAAGCACAAATGTCAAGCGAGAGACAGAGCGGTCGGCGAGGATATGAACAGGAGCCAAAAAAGGTTCAGATGCGACGAAGAAGAGTGTTGGAAATTGAGAGCAGGGCCAATTGAGCCCGGTGGGTGCCAGGTTGGTCGGTGTGGGACGAGGCCCCCAGCAGCTAACTAGTTAACTAACTACCACGCAATCCTCTGCGGATTCATATCCATTATTAGGACGGTCCATCACAGGGCGGCTTGGGCGATTATCCCTACAATTAATGGCTGCCCCTGCATACGTACTACAGATTGCTCTTGATGTGATGTCTGGGATAAATCAACGCCACCCCTGCTGATGTCTCTGTTCGCCCCGTAACCAACGGTTTTACGTGAATAGGCGACTGCCCAATAATGCCCCCGAGACTTGTCTGTCAATCGCGGTGTGTGATTAAGACATGCACGGCGATGACGACGAGGGTATTTCTACAGATCCAGGGACGAGCCACAACTCTAGACTAGAGCCCAGTTAGTTACGCAAGACTGGCTGAGCTTCCGTCTGATCACAACTGCAGCATCGTCCATAATGTCTTCTTCTCCCATCGACACTCTTATATATAACTTATTCCTGCATCTCCATGCGTCCGAAAGAGGAAATCCTCCCGTCGCCAGCGGGCACACGTGGTGCTTCTGATTGGCCGGAAGCGGTCGCTGTGGGGCGCGGTATTGTGAGGGCCGAAAACGGAAGTCCCGCGTTTCAAACATGCTGTGCAGCGTAATACACACAAAACGTGAAATTTGGCCCCGTCGCGGCGGTTTTCTCGGCTGTTCATTGGTGGGATCCGGGGATTCCGTACTAGGGGGTTCCTGGAGTTACAGCTCCGGCTGGCCTTGGCGTGTTTGTCGTGTTGGGTCGAGATGACATCCCGCCATCAAAAAGGCCGCGTCGATTCCTCTGATCTTTCAGTTTGTCTGTCCGTTACTTGTGTCTTCTTGAGCTATCTGGGCTTTTGTTTTTGTTTTGTTCAGGCGTAATAGAAGCTCTGTCCTGTTCCCCTGCTGGTGTATATTTGTTTTCCTGGAAGACTTTACCCCTCCATTTGCGCCAAAGGAGTAACTGGAGTCCCGCCGCAGCGATGACCAGACAAGATCAGTACGTTGCAACCTCCGGCCTTGCCATTAAACTCTTTCATGGCTGACGATTTCTAGCGTTGTTGATGTTCTCGTTATCGGTGCTGGCCCCACTGGGCTAGGAGCCGCAAAGCGCTTGCACCAGATCGTGAGTTGCGGATTCCCCTTGGAGAGGGCGTAAAATGGAATAGTCTGGCTAATTGACGCGAGTAGAATGGGCCATCTTGGATGATTATTGATGCAAATGAGACTCCCGGGGGATTGGCCTCCACCGACGTGACTCCAGAAGGATTTGTACGCTGTTGATCTCCCGCCTCATTCAGTGGTTTCGACCGATTTACTGACGCCAACTATTGTTCCTGTAGCTGTACGATGTGGGTGGCCATGTCATCTTCTCCCACTACAAATACTTTGACGATTGCATTGATGAGGCGCTCCCAGCAGAGGACGACTGGTATACCCATCAGCGCATTTCGTACGTCCGCTGCAAGGAGCAATGGGTTCCGTACCCCTTCCAGAATAACATCTCGATGCTTCCGAAGGAGGAACAGGTTAAATGCATGGACGGCATGATCGATGCTGCCCTGGAGGCCCGAGTCGCCAATACGAAGCCAAAGACGTTTGACGACTGGATCGTCCGGATGATGGGAACTGGTATCGCGGACCTGTTCATGCGGCCATACAACTTCAAAGTCTGGGCGGTGCCAACCACAATGGTGAGAAAGCCCAAGCAATTTTGCTGTCAAGGATTGAGTTGCTAAGTACACGCGATAGATGCAATGCGCGTGGCTAGGTGAGCGTGTCGCCGCACCGAACCTCAAAGCGGTGACCACCAATGTCATTCTGCAGAAGACAGCCGGCAACTGGGGTCCCAACGCAACCTTCCGCTTCCCTGCCCGTGGCGGTACCGGCGGCATTTGGATCGCCGTCGCGAACACCTTGCCTAAAGAGAAGACACGCTTCGGTCGCCACGGTGCCGTTACAAAGGTTGATGCGGAGAATAAGACAGTTACTCTGGGTGACGGTAGCAGAGTCAGGTACAAGCGGTTAGTTTCCACCATGGCCGTGGACTCGCTGGTTGAACGGATGGGCAACCAAGAGCTAGTCGATCTTTGCAAGGGCCTTTTCTATTCGTCTACCCATGTCATTGGTGTAGGGATTCGCGGCGAACGGCCAGAACGGATTGGTGATAAATGCTGGGTACGTAAATCTTCGCGCGCGCAACTTACCCCCAGGCGTGAAAACTGACGTTGAAAACTGCAGCTGTATTTCCCCGAAGACAATTGTCCGTTTTATCGCGCTACCATTTTCTCCAACTACTCTCCCTTCAATCAACCTGACGCTTCGAAATCATTGCCCACGCTTTCTTTTGCAGATGGCACCGTTCCTGATGGAAATGCCAAACCACAACCAGGACCATACTGGTCCATCATGCTTGAAGTTTCCGAATCCCGCATCAAACCAGTCAACAATGATACTTTGTTGGCCGAGTGTATCGAGGGGCTGGTCAACACTTCAATGCTCAAACCTACCGATGAAATCGTCTCTACATATCACCGTCGCTTTGACCACGGCTATCCTACCCCTACACTCGAGCGAGAGGGTGTTCTTACGAAGCTTCTTCCTCGCCTGCAGGACATGGGCATCTATTCGCGTGGCCGCTTCGGTAGCTGGCGCTACGAAGTTGGCAATCAAGACCACTCCTTCATGCTGGGAGTGGAAGCGGTGGATAACATCATCAATGGAGCAACAGAGCTGACGTTGAATTACCCTGATTTTGTGAATGGACGAGCCAACAACGAGCGGAGACTTGTGGATGGCGCGCAGGCGTTTGCTAAGGAGTTGGAGATCAGAAACTAATGGCATCCCTGACATGTTTTTGCCATTTTAGACGGGCGATGGGGGTTTTCAATTTACGGGTGATTTTTATGAAAGAAACAATGGTCAAATGGAAAACTGCGCGATATCTGTTTTTGATCCACACCGCTTAATGTCGCTGATGCAACATGTTTTTGCATGTAATTGTTGGTTCTTGTGAAAGAGCACATAGAGAGAAGAAATAATAATACCCGAGCATTGCTTTGATGGTTCTGCCAGAAGTGTGATACTTGTGAGAGCAAGGGTGTCCTGCCAACTGCTGCATGGTTTTGTAACCACAAGGTCTGTTGGACCACCATTCCACACAAGAAACACAGCCATTCACAACAGGACCTGCCTGAGACCAGCTCTACCGGGAGAGACAGATGGCGGCTGGCGAAAGTGACGCGGTGGCTGCATTTCCTGGTGGAAGGCTGTGAATGTGTTTGGCTGCAGAGTGACTTTTGGCATCCCCCGATTGCTGAGTAATCAGTACCAGTACCGTCTGCGTATGTACTGTACGTAGCGCTGGTACGGAGTAAAGCGAGTAACCCGGTTATACTGAATGTATATACCGTACAGTACCGTCCGAATACCGCACCAGCCCACTTACATAATCCCGGTACCTCCTGTGCAGGTCTCACCTTCGCTCTCTTGCAACTCTCCCTCTCGCCCTCTTCTCGACGACGACGACAATGAGGCCCAGCTGAGATTCTGGCCGACACTGTGCCCATTCTGCTGGCTGGCTTCTCTTCCTTCTGGGCTGCCATCTGGAGCTGCCTTGCAATCCAGAATCTGCCAAATCCGCAGTCCAGTTGAGCACGCTCTCGCACACCGAACTAGATCCTGCTGCGATCGCTTCACCTCAACTATCAGCTGTCATCTTCTGCCCTTTCTTCCCTTCATTCACTAGTCCCACAACCTCGTGAATCCCCGGTATTCATCGCCAGATCTTGTTTTGCCTTGTCTCCATCCACCAACCACGGACTCGCAACGGTCACTGCCGCCCTCTCTCGACCAAAGTGCCCCTCGTGTTTCGTTGCTCAAGCACTCTGCCCCCCGGCCGTTTCTCATACACCCCTTTATTCCGCCCGCCATGCCTCTTCTTCGCCAGTGAGGTGACCAGCGTTCAGATTGATATATGAAAACGCCTGGTTGGCCCCCTTTACCCACCCGTCGCTCACTCGTTTGCTCTGTTACCCGTTGCCGCTTCGTCCCTTCGCTTGCCTCTGAAACTTGCATCCTCCCGTCTTGTGGTTCGTTGACCTTTGTGCCCTGCCATGGACGGGGACTTGAGCCTTTCGCAGTCCTTTGGGGGGCTGCGAATTGCTAACCCCGATGACACTCCTCCTGGTGGCCCAGAGGGATCCTCGAGCTCGACCCCTCGACCCCAAACTGCCGATTCAAGAAAGGGAATCGAAGGTAGGTTGAATGTGTCTGGTCTGTTGGTCTCACCTTTACACGCAAGCTGATAGAATGCCTTGAAAAAGGACCTGTATCGGACGCTTCCATATCCTCGGCGCCATTGAATCGGTTGTCGATGTCGTTACACTACCAAGATACCCAGCAGCTTCCGCTGGCCGACAGTACACCTAATCCGCCACAGTCACTCGATAGTACCCCAACTACTTCCATGCGTCCCCTATCGTCTTATTTACCTCCCCAAGTCCCTCAGCTGCCGAATGGCTCTGCCAATTCCGTTAGTAGAGGCCCGTCATATCGCATTCGTACCGAGTCTTCAGCTTCCTCTACCTCGGAATTTCCCACGAGAAGTGATTCGCGAGGTGGCTCAGCCGCTCTGCAGGCCGGTGTCCCCATTCGAGACAATAGCCACACCGATAGGTCATATAGACAATCCCCGTACTATGGGGAAAATGCTGCACTGCCACCGCGGCGGAGCTCTCGAGCAGTGCGCAACAACGGCCCTCATCGTTCCGGCTCCCAATACAACCCCGACAACGGTTCTGGTCAGAGCTCTGGGGACTGGCAAGAGCGTGGTGCTGCCGTTGCTGTTCGCCAGGAAATCGATGCTAATGGAAAGCCTGTGTCAAAAACTGTCAGGAAGGGTGTTAGGGATTTCCAATTTGGTCGAACTCTCGGTGAAGGCTCTTATAGCACGGTTGTGGCTGGGACCGATCGGCAGACTTTGAAGGAATATGCCATCAAGATTCTCGATAAGCGCCATATCATCAAGGAAAAGAAAGTCAAGTACGTTAATATTGAAAAGGACACTTTGAATCGACTGACCGAGCATCCCGGTGTCGTTCGACTATACTACACCTTCCAAGATGAGAATTCTCTCTACTTTGTCCTTGATATCGCGCTGGGTGGCGAGCTCTTGAATTTCCTGAAGCGAATCGGGACCTTTGATGAAGAATGTACTAGGTTCTACGGTGCGGAGATTCTAGATGCGATTGATTACATGCACCGACGAGGGATCATCCATCGTGATTTGAAACCGGAGAATGTCTTGTTGGATAGCCAGATGCATGTAAAGATCACGGACTTTGGCACTGCTAAGATACTAGATTCACCACGACGAGCCGAAGACGGTTCCAATGGGATTTTGGATTCCGGTACGCCTGGCCGTGACAGGGCTAGTTCGTTCGTTGGCACTGCGGAATACGTTAGTCCGGAACTTCTCACTGAGAAGAATGCATGCAAGGCTAGCGATCTATGGGCATTTGGCTGTATCATTTATCAGTTACTGGCGGGGAGACCACCGTTCAAAGCCGCGAACGAATATTTGACGTTTCAGAAGATTGTCAACCTCGACTATGAATTCCCAGAAGGATTCCCACCGGTAGCCCGGGATTTGGTGGAAAGATTGCTCGTCGCTGATCCTACTAGGAGGCTTCCAATCGAGCATATTAAAAACCATGAATTCTTCAAGGGCGTTACCTGGGGTCGAGGTCTTTGGAAACAAAAGCCACCCCGTCTAAAGGCCTATGCGCCACCACCTCCGGAACCGATTAAGCTCAATGGCGGCACTGGCGAAGACAGTTTCCCCCCCAATATCAACTCAAAACCCGGTCCCACCCCGTCACAAAATAGCCGGCCCTACCCACGAGTGATTACCGAACTGGCTCCCCCGTCTCAGCTGGATATCGAATGGTCTCCGGTTCTGACACGGCCGAACGAGCGTATCCTGAAAATGGGCAACATGATTGTCTCGTCGTCATCGATACCGCATCGATCACAGAATAAGCATGGAAATGGAGAGCACGAAGGTCCCAAGAAGCTCTCTCGCTTTTTCAGCGGTGCCACGACTAAAAAGCGCCAGCGTCTCGTCATAGTCACCACCGCAGGTCGCGTTATCATCGTACCAGCGGGAGGAGAAGAGAAGAGGCTGAAATTCGAGGTGTCTCTTTTACAACCCGAGACTCATTATCGAAGCACTACGGATTTAAAGGGCCACTCGTCTTGGATCATCGATACGGTAAGTGTGATTGACAAGCATACGGTTGAGCATTTGTTAACGTGATTCTATAGCGAGACAAGCGCCTTGTGTTTGAAGAGACCAAGTCTTCTGCCACTGAAGGTAACACATCTGCTCTTTCCACGCAGGAATGGGTAGAAACCCTGGACCGATCGAAAGAGATGGGGGCTTTAAACCCCGCGACCGGGTCCTATCTGGGCGACGAGGGCTTCCGAGACCTGTCCTCTGGAGTTTCGAGCCATGCCAACACTTTGGACCGGTCCGAGGAGATTTCAGGAGGAAGACTCGTGAAGAACCAAAACCCAGGGGATTCGGACTCGGTCAAGGCGAAAAAGCGATTCAGCCGTCGACATTCAAAGAACGGGCTTTCAGCAGTTTTCTAGAGGCAAAAACAATGGCGCAAGCAATAGCTTTGAGCCCGGATCACTGCAACCGAGATCATCTCTGGGGTATTTTGCATTGTTGGCGTTGGGGAGTTTTTCTCTGGACCTAATCTCTCCCTGTATCCCCTTTTCCGCCCGTACACTTGTTCGCATCAAAACAGCACCTTACTTTTCCTTGATCGTTGCGTCGACATACCCGCCTTCGGGCTACGAATGATGACCTGCACTATCCCCAGCTGAAGCGTCCTGGTTGTGAAGATCCGCCGTTGAAATTTTCAAGTGGATTCGTTGTCCCATTTCCTACATCTGTTTTGTCGTTTTGCGAAGACGGTTATATTCCCCTCGTTTTGCGCTGTGCATATTGTGCTTTCTCCCCGTGACAGTACAGTAGTTCCTTTCATTCTCCTATTTGCATGAACGTCGAGCTTCGATAGAACCCGTCGTCGCTCCTTGTTGCCCCGGGTCAGTTGAGAGAGCGTCGAGGATTTGATTAAGCAGCGAGGCATTTGGCTCCGAGCAGTCACATAGCATTTGATTCCCTTACCATCGACCGCGGCTCCGTTGCCATCTCCAATACATACTTTAATTGCTTCGTGATAACAAACTAGTCTTTTATTCGAAAAAGGTCTGCTAAATTAGAGCAATTGCTACAAGAAGATTCTTTCTTCCGACTAATCTATTGTTTATGCCATTGGAGCTTTCGCGTAAATCAAAGGCTTTTTCGCCTGTTGTCCCCGGGCTAATGAGACATGCCTCTACTCTACCCGTAAAGTAGCCAATGCCGCGCTGCTGCCAGGCACCCAGATACAGAGACAACTACGCCGCAGCACGCCTGGCAGATTCATCGAGTCACATTGACAACCGCGCCTGGGCTGCTCGTCCCAATTCGCGGTGCGTCGCCGAAGCCAGCGAGGGATATGGCCGCATCAGCTCTCACTCTCGTCCTTGGAGCCGCAGATCGTCGGGGAAGCAGAAGAGCGAACGTTGCTGTGCCGCAGGTCGGGTTGCTGCTGGGCCGCAGGACCATTTTCAGCTCCTGTCTTTTTTCTCATGAACAGCGCGGCGGGTCTGGAGTAAATCGAGAATAGGAAGACGCTCTGAATTGCTGCCATTCCGACCCAGCTGCTTTGCTCTGCTTGCTCACGGTCCAGCGTGTGGCGATACAGAAGCAAGTCGCTGCAGAGGTGATTGGCGGGCGGCAACTGCACGGAGGCGCTTTTCGAGGCGAGTGCATTGGCGCAAGGCGGAGCAGAGACGAGGACCAGCGGTGGATGAAGAGTCAAGAGGGCTCGTCTGTGAGAGTTGCGTTGTGTGTGTGTTAACTAGTTATCCAGTTTCATCTCGAGATTCTTCGCGTTGTTGATTTCTTCCATCTGAGCCCATCTCAACTCCCTTCTCGCAGTCCATCTTCTCGCCACAACGACAAGCAGCACAACAGCCTGATCCCCTTGCTCCCTTAGTCTCGCCCAGCAGTGCAGCTCGACCATGTCCCGATCGCCCGCCATCAGAACATGACAGCGCGTCCCCAGCCTTGCACCGAACTGCCCGCTTCGCTGCCCATGGTCTCTCACCCCGAGGCCACGGCCCGTCCCAGAGCCGTCCGCCCTCCGCAATCCGTGGCCTCGTCGCGTCACCCCCAGCATCCCCAGCACCAGCACCAGCACCAGCATCGCCGTCGGTTCAGCGGCGGCCGTTCGCACCACGGCGGCTCCTCGCACCAGCCGCTGAACGAGTTCCCCATCTTCACGGGCACCGGCGACGTGGAGATTGTCATCCGCGCGTCGAACCAGGAGCGCAAGTACCTGCTGCACCGCTTGATCCTCGCGCAGAACTCGGGCTTCTTCGAGGCCGGGACGAGCGAGGAATGGTCCGGGGTGCAGGCACAGCGCGAGGAGGCGGATCGCGCGCGGGCGGACGGGTCGCCGGACGGCGTGCCGGAGGGCAATGGGCTGGATGTGGTTCGGGAAGAGGACGAGAATGGATCGCGCACGGCGGCGGCGAAGAAACCCAAGCGGAACCGGTGGAGGTATGAGCTGGACTGGGAGAATCGAGAGGAGGATGAGCTGCCCATTCTGGTGCAAAAGGTGAGGATACTGAGCGGATTGATCTTAGGATACAGATACTGATGCGAATTGATACAGCCACCGACCGCCGGCAATGCTGTCTTTGCGGAAACGAGACCACGGCAGCCTCCGCCGGCGAGGAACAAGCCGCCGCCGCCGCAGCAAGGGTTCTTTCGCACAATGGTGAACCTGACGGGCATCCAGTCGGCGCTGCATCTTCCCAGCACGGCGACGGCGGAAGAGCCCCCGATGGACCCGACGATTCGCGACTACGACAATCTCTTTCGCATCTTCTACAACCACACGCCGAATCTCAACTCGGTCAACATCGCGTCCGCCTATGCCGAGTGCAAATCGCTCCTGAACCTGGCCGACATGTACGACGCCCTGCCGGTGGTCGGCCCGCGCGTCGACCACCACCTGCTGCGGTTCTCGTCGCGGCTCTACAAGCAGATTGCAAAGTATCCGCCCAGCTACCTGAAGCTCGGCTACCTGGCGCGCAGCCGGGTGATCTTTGCCGAAGCCCTGATCCACGTTGTCGGCCAGTGGCCCGCGGCGCTGCCTCACCTGGGCCCCAACTCGTACTCGCCGCTGCCGGACCCCGTGCTGGACGTGATCGAGGACAAGGTCGACGACCTCGAGGACCTGATCGCCCGCACCGAAGGGAAGCTCTTCCGCCTCACGCTGACCACCTCGCGGGGCGAGCGTGTCAGCCCCAGCAACGCCTACCTCGACTGGCTGGCCGTCTCGCTCTTCCGCCAGTTCCTGGTCGAAAACACCACGCCGCCGCCCCCGTCGATCCTCAAGAACTCGTCCTCCCTGCCCTCCCGCAACCTCCACAGCTCCGGCTCCACCGGCTCCAACGCGACCGGCCGCCAGAGTGCTTCCGCACCCGCTGGCGGCGGCGCGGGCACTGGCACTAGCACCCGCGCTGCCGCACCTCCGCCTCTGCCACCGCAGCCGTTCTCGATAGGCCGGACATACCGCCTGCTGGGCTCGTCGAACGCGCAGGCATATCTCTCGCACGACGAGCTCAAGCGCTTTCTAAAGCTGCACCCGTCCTCGGATTCGCTCTACTCGCGCGAGAACTTTAAGCGGTTTGAGCGGAAGATGGATGAGATCAAGCGGCTGGCGCGGGAGATTGTGAAGCCGCTGATGCGGAATTTTCTCGAGCTGGATTTGCGCGGGGGTAGTGACGATGACGGTGCGTCGCATGGCTCGTTGTTGCAGTATTTGACGTGCACCAGGGTCGAAGAGGCGGATTTCCCGTGGGACTGAGCTGGGGTCTTTATTTGCTTGCTCCCGCCCTCTTTTTTTTATATTTCGGCTTGCCTACGGTTAGCCGGTTCGATTCGATCCGACTGACGAACGAACGTTATATCAATGACTCCAAAATACGTTGTTGCGATGGTAGAGTATGTTTTGTTTTCCTCTATATTCGCGATATATCATGAGATTTACGACCATGAGATGATGACAATCTTGCCGTTCTAATACTGTTTTTTTTTTGGTTTTGATATCCCCATTTGCATTCTTCTTTTAGTCTCTTGGATACGGGAGCGAGTACTCGTGTACTCCAGGAGTGATGATCTGTTGAGAGAGTCCTACTGCCCTGTAATGATGCTTGGTCTGTGGAGGGGACTGGGGTGGCACTTTATTTACTTTAATCTCTTTCGTGTACTTATTTTGGTCTATTTAGTTGCAAAGTAGAATGTCCCGGATTATCGCCAGTAGTTATATCTCCAGATCTAGCTCCATCTCTACTCATTCAAAGCCTCATCTACCGTCTCCCACTCAAACCTCCCTACCCCCAATCATCTCCATCCCCATCCAATCCCTCAGCACCTCCGGCACCACCACCCCTCCCCTCTTCTCATCCCACCCGTTCTCCAGTATCGCCGCCAGCACCCGCGGCACCGCCACCGCCGTGCCATTGACCGTGTGCGGAAACCGTGCCGCGGACGCCGTGCGCACGCGCGTCCCCAGCCGGCGGCTCTGGTAGTCCGTGCAGATCGAGGCGGACGTGACTTCGCCCCAGCCGCTGGTGTCTGCTGCAGCAGCTGGGTTCATGCGCGAGGGGAAGAGGGCTTCAATGTCCTGTTTGCGGGCGGCGCTGGCGCCGAGGTCGGCGGTGGGCATTTCGAGGATGCGGCAGGGGAGGTTGAGGGAGGAGAGGATCTCGGTTTGGATGGAGAGCATTTCGGCGAAGAGGGAAGACGATGACGGTACGTCCGGGAGATGGTCTGCCCAGCCAAAGAGTTCGACCTTTGTGAATTCGTGGACGCGGTAAAGGCCCTTTGTATCGACGCCTCGGGGCACCCGCTTCGGGCGCGATAGCAGCGGTTCAACGCCGACGAATCTTCAACGGACAGCTTGTCCGAAGGCATGTCGCGGCCGGCGTACATGGCGGCCAGGGGGATCTCGGCGGTGCCGGCCAGGCAGCGCTGCGGCTTGCTCCGGTCACGCTCGGGCTGCTCGATGGCCCAGATGTGCTGCTCGTTGTTGGGCGTCGCGCGGCTGGAAGCCACACGCCTCGGCAATATACGAGTAGACGAGCGAGGGCGGCGCGACGGGCTTCCAGCCGCGACGCATGGCGACGCGCAGCGCGTACTGGACCAGCGCCTGCTCGAGCAGGGCGCCTTCGTTTGTAAGATAGTACCACCCCCAGCCGGTCGAGGTGGCGGCGCTGGCAAAGTCGAGCAGGCCCAGGGCGGTGCCGATGGCGACGTGGTTGCGCGCCGGCTCCGGCGACGACACGTACGGCGGCGGCGAGTGCGGGTTGTAGTTGATGTAGTCGCGCACGCGGGGGGTGTCGCCGACGGGCGTCTCTGGGGCCGTCAGGTTGGGCAGGGCCAGGGCCAGCTGCTGGATCTGCTGGAGACAGGCCTCGCGCCGGTCCGTCAGCGCCTGCGAGGCATCCTTGAGCTGCTTTGCTTCCCGGTGGAGGGCCGCGAGCGCTTCGTTTTTGTAGTTGTCCTGTTCCTCCTTGCTCGTGGCGAGCCTGGCGATGGCCTTTTGGACGTGTTTGATCTTGGAGCGCGGGGCGTTGAGCGAGCGCTGCAGGCGGGCGGCTTCGTCGGCCAGTGACTGGATGCGCGAGGGATATTCGGCGAGCGCCGTGTAGTTGCGGTCGAGGCAGTTTTGGGCGTAGAGGCCGGCGTGGTCGCGGATGTGCTTGATGTTGGGGGCGGGTTTGGGGCCTGTTGCCGGACGGGCGTCAAGAAGGCGGGAGGAGGAGGAGAAGCGGCGAACTGGTCGCAGGCATGTTTGGCAGCGGAGGCAGATGAACGGCGTGTTCATGTTGTCGATGTGTGGTGGAGAAATGATGAGACGCACGATGAATAAAAGATATAAAAAATATATCAACAAATTCAGCAAATGATTACAGTTATTGACCCCGATTGATTACTATAACTACTACCGAGCTATCCAGAATTCATCCAAACGGCCGAAATACTTTGCCATGATACTTGTTGCTACTTTGCGATACTCATTCATTGCCTCTTAGAAACGGCGGCAGCTTGTGCCTCTTGATCCGCGCATACAGGCCCGCAACCACCAGCAGCGCGCTCAGCAGCACCGTCCACAGCCGGATGTGCAGCACGCTGCGGTTGTAGTCCGTCTGCGTCGCGGCCGCAATGGTCGCCAGCTCCACGACAAAGACAACGTAGCCACCCAGCCGATGCCACTTGTACACGCTCTTGCCGGCGTCGACGCTCCCAAAGACCCGGGCGGGGAAGAAGTACTGGGCGACGCCGACGGCGGCCTGCAGGAAGATGAGGATGTAGGCGACCAGGCCGAGGATGGCGTGGACGGACTTGAAGCGGGTTTCGGGGTGCGAGGCCTTGTTGATCTCGATGACAACGAGGGCGGCGATGAAGGCCAGGTTGGCGACCAGCAGCACGCCGAAATGCGCCAGGGCGCCGTGTCGCTTCTGGGCTGCAGTGTGCGTCGGCTGGAGCAGCAGGATGGCCTGCGTGGAGAGCAGCACGCCGGCCGAGTTGAGCAGCTGCAGACAGTCAGTTGGAGATGACACGGAGCATATATATATATGGCTTACCGGGTGCGGCGAGAAGAAGATGAGGTCGTTTGTAAAGACGGCCGACCAGACCAGCGCGGCCAGCTTGGACAGATTAGCAGAGCTCGTCTCATTGCAGCGGGAGACTCACGATCCAGATGCCCGCCTGCGCAACGGGCGCCGTGCCGGTTGCCAGGTTCGCGATGATGCTGCCGTGCTCGGGCTGCGAGACGTCGCCGGGGCGGCCCAGCAGCGGTTCGTGTTCAGACATGATGGCGATGATACTGATCTAGTTAGTTATCGTTGTTATCCGTGGATGTTGAATCATCAAGAGATGATGATGACTCTTGGCTGCTCTTGAACCAGCCGGCTTGTCGGCGCTCTCCGACGGCTAACTTTGGATGTAGATATATAAAGGACGCTGTAGATATAGATTATAGAGTATCCTGTAAGTATATACCATGGAGACTATCACCGATCCCAGCTGCATCGACCGCCGCTTCGCCAAAACCACCAACCTCGCGTCCGCCGCCCTCAACGCCTCGATCCTCGCCTGCAGCAACGAGTTCTTCGCCGCCGCCGCCAACCTGCTCACGCCCGCCGCCCCCGTCCACCGCCCCGGCCTCTTCGTGCACTCGGGGCGCCTGGTACGACGGCTGGGAAACCCGGCGCCACAACCCCGCAGCCCTTTGACTGGGCCATCGTCAAGCTCGGCGTGCGCAGCGCCGTCATCGAGGGCGTCGAGATTGACACCCGCGCACTTTGTCCGCCAACTACGGGCGACAAAGTGCTTCGTCGAGGCCCGCTCATCTCCACGACGAC